AAGAGGCTCAATCTCTGTTCTTCTGAGGGAGAGTGGCCATGGAAGGAAATGGAAGAAGAGAAAGTTATCCTTTTGTTCATTTGTTTCTTTTTTTCTTGACCCATTACCCACCTTTGGCTGCCCTCTGGCTTGAATATACCATCGTGGGCGTACAAAATACATTTGTGTACACTGCGCATTGGTGGGCTGCATTTCGAAACATTAGTGTATTTGTTTAAGAAATCTGACAGTGCCTAGTCTCTTCTAACCTTAAAGCTTCTAGGGCAAGGGTAGGGCAAAACTGCTGTAAAGACGTTCTGTAGCCTGCTAATTTTTTTATTTTTTTTTGCCGAAGAAATATAGGTGTCAACAGAGGGCGCCAAACGTTACTTTATGCGTATATCATTTTTCGTATTTATTATACTTGAGGTGATAGTTTATGTAAGTTTAGTTTTACTCCTGGATTTATTGCTATTTTTCTGTCTATTCTCTAGGGTGTTTCTGTGTGTGTTTCTTGTATCAAAAGAGGTGTTTTTTCCCCAAAATTTGGATCCACCTGCTCCAAGTCTGCATGCTTAATTTTGGGGCTTTGCTGCAAAGTCTGTTTCTACTGTATTTTACATCGCATTTCAGGATAGGGAAAGGGAAAGTGAAATGTTCTGTTTCTGGTTTCCCGACCTACCCTATGTTAACAGCGCAACTCTGAAGTTCATTGGAGGGGATTGGGGGAGAATGTGTACCGGACTCTTTGGTCATACATGCTGGTCAGTGGAAACCAGTTGAATACGACATCAGTTGCCAGTGATCAAAGTGTCGTTCTGTCCATTTGAAAACACGTGCCACCTGACCTTTCTTGCTCTTCGCTGCGCACTGAGCCAGCACAAAAAAAAGTGAAAAAGAAGAGAAAACAATGAAGAAAAATCCTGCCCTCCTACCCTGTTCTCACATGGCATGGCATGTAATACCAAAATTACCTGTATGAGGGAGGGCAAATGAAAAACCTAACCAAAGCTAGTTTACCCAATCCCTAGACTAAAAACTGATATCTGTGTGGGTCTGCGATAGTTTGGTCTGTGCTTGGTGGTTACATGTACTGCAAAGTTTCAATTGTAATTGGACTGTGAAAGTTGGTGGGCTCTGCAGAAGAGGTCTTAATCCTAATACAAGCATCAAACATTTCCTCGAACAAACTGAACAAACACAAAAGATTCTGTTACTCTCACTGTAGCTGGGATTCTGTTTATTACACCTATGTACATTGACTCCACTGAAAGCATTTCTCTATATACACTGCACTTACTGCATGTACTTTGGGATAAAGTCACGTCATGCAGCTCTATGGGTACTTCCAACCCAACTTTAAACAAAAGAGAACTATAAAAAAAAGAAGAAGTCTGGGAACTTTTGAAAGTTTGGCAAGTTCTGCTTTTCTGTCTCACCTTCTTTCTCCTTTTTTAAATCTAGTAACTTGGTATTTTTACAGAGCGTTAATTACCACACTGGTTCAGACTTGGTGTCGGCTTGAGAGCCAGAGGACACAATGGTAACTTGAATAGAGAGAGTCTTTTTGTCAAATGCAGAGCATTAACTTTAAAGTTCTTTGTTTGTGGAACATTCTGATAACCTCCAGTCGGCAATCAAGCAGACTTCATAGGACCTGGACTTTAACTGTGTTGTAAGCAACATGAAACGTGGTCACTGTTCTTTCTTTAAAAACCTGAATTTGACAATGCCAGATTTTGAACCTTTGTAAAACAAAACGTGGCATCAGCCTTTGTACATATTTCATAACTATATCTTTCCTTTCCCCCTGCCGGTCTCCGTTTCCTATTTATATTTCAAAACAAAGGGATTCTTGTAAGTTTTATTGGACTAGCTTAGACGAGTATTTGACAAACACCTCAGTTATTTTTACTGTATATATTATACAGTATAGGCTAGAATAAGTATTTGTATGAATGAATTGGGATGTGCAGAGGGTTTTTCCTGTTGCGAGACAAAAATGTCTTCAATCAAAAAGTGAAGAGTTCGTAAATAAAAATTCATATGGAGTGCGATACCTTTGTCATTTTCTGAAATTTGTGTGTTTTAAACTAGAACCATTAACTTCCTCCACACTTTATGCACGGGAGTAGAACTGTATTTTTGTTGATCATTTTGTATTGTTTTTCTGGGCGTATTTTCCTATTGCGATCGCAACAAACATTTAAGAATATACATCTATTTACACATTACATTAAATTATACATTTTCACTTGTGCACGGGCAAGAGAAGGCCGGATAGACCACAGAAAGTAAGTGCAATCACCATCTCCACAATTTCAGCACTAAATTTTAAAACTTTACAAAAAATACAAAAAATGTGGCCATTAGGGGGCCTAGCTACAATTGTTAAGTTTGCAGAAAGACGACAAATTCAATCGGAGCTAAGATAGGTGGACTAAGGGATGGAGTAACAATTTGCCTGCTTTCTTGTTGGCTTTAAAATTCAAAGCAGTGAAATTATTTCTATTGTCTCCGCTGTTTTGCTGCTCTTACAAGAATTCATGACTGATAATTAGCTGTTCCAGCAATTCAGCCCAAACAGCTCTTGTTTTATTTGGAATTTGTTTTGATTTGATGTGTCCAATATTTTCCAGTCGGACTGCAGACACTAGACGTCAATAACTGAGAAAAAAGTTAATAAGAAATTTAAAAAAGTCTCTCTATTTCAGAAGTTGCCTGGTCAAAGCTGTGTTAACTGACACATTGGCAAAGTTTCTGTATCTTGTTTGTTTTAGACGATGAACCTATTTCGCTTCTTCTTGCCCATGTAGTTCCGTCGCTGGATCTTCATGTACTTCTTGATCTCCTTCTTGATGCGGGCCTTGGAGCACCTCTTCTGAGGCTTGGTCAGTTTGGCCTGGCAGGCCTCCACGGCGATGAGGTCTGGGCAGTCTCGCCCACCGTTCTTGGGCGGCTGGATGACCAACCGGAAGCGTCGTCGCAGCCCCACTTTGCAGAGGGTGTCGCAAGGGCTCCATGACCCCCAGGGTGTGACCTCACAGTCGTAGGGTATGACTGTTTCTGTTGGAGGAGACAGGGAAAGGGGAGAAATGAAGACGGAGTTTAGAACCAGGCCGCTTCGGAATGTTGTGACTGAAAATACCACAGGCTTGCACCTGCAGTTAAGTCTCACGGAGGAATGTTTTACTCCAGGCTACAATTCAGTTGATTTACACAACTTGGGCCAAGCCAAGCATGCCCTGGTACACATTGTTTCTAAATGTGAAACTATTCAATGGTGTGTGTAAACCAGTGAAATGGAAGTACCCATCATGCACCCCTCTTGGTTTGTTACATAGCGCCCTCTGTGGTTTGGCAGTGAACCCATTTGTTAACATGCACAAGACCACAGAAAGGCAAATTGAAGAACTTGACGGCGGTAGAATGAGATACACCAGAAAGACCCTAGAAGCTAGGGGACTGTCTTCGGTTGTTAGTTACACCCACCTGGCTCTGTAGGGAGGTCTATCCCTGGAAAGACATATTCTGGGCTGTCACCGGGCATCTGAACATCTTCTCCAGCCTTGTCCAGCCCCGTAGCCACGGGGACCAGCTTGTCCATCCAGGCACTGTTGTCGTCGCCCACTGGCTGCCACACCAGTGTCACCCGGGCGATGGGCGGCAGTGCATCCAGCTTCGGGTAGAAGAAAGAGTTGGCCGGGTGGTTGGGGCGTTGCGAGGTGATCTGGGTGATGGGCTCCTGGGGGTTGGTGACGTAGTCAGGTGAGGTGAAGGAGAACCCACCGTCAGTGCCTGCGTCCCAGGGTTGCAGTTCCAACTGCAGGGGGTCCTTGCGCCAGGAGCCCCCCTCACAGAGGTCTAAGCCACTGACTCCGACGAACCAGTCCGGACTCGGGATGAGCCGAACTGCAAACGATATCTGCCAGAAATATGGACAGGCTGTGATGCTGTGGTTTGTTTTCTCCTACGTGTATACATCCTTGTTTGATGTAGACTTTCTCTAAACACAGTGTTGGCTTGACGACCAAATTCTCTGTTGGGGGATATTATTAGGCCTTCCTTCTGTTGGCTCCTCCCCCCCATTCCCAACTGAGACTCTTAAACTCTCACAAATTTTAAATCTTGCTGAATCTAACTTTTGTCCAGTGCATTGGGTCGTGCAGTGTACAGTAGTGTTCTCTTGTGCACAAATTTGTGTACAAAATTATCCTCAGTTCCTTATGACCAGTTTGCTCTCAAATCGATGTTTGTCCTTACCTTTGTGTAGTCTCTGTGTGCAAACACGGTGGTGGTAGACCGTCCAGTACCACTGCCGATCGACTTGGCCGCGAAGACAGACCCATTTTGTAGCTTGACCATCTCGCTTTGCATCTGCTTGCCGGACGGGTCCTCACCCTCCGCAAAGTCCTTGAAGGGCTGGCTGACCAACTGGCCCGGCTCCCACATGGTGTAGCGGTCATTGTGGGATAGCCCTGGACAGGAGGGAGAAAATATGGAGCAAGTGAGCATAGTGTCGCTCAGAAAGCGATTGGTGGATGGACCGATCGGAGGCGCCCAAGAAGTGGTTGTGATGAGGGACCATTCATGTTCCTGCTGTCATTGTTGCCTTTTGCTTTCAACCGGTAGAGGTGTACATTAAGACTATAAAATGGCTGTGACCACATCCCCCTCTGCCTACGATTGCGCATTATAAACCGTTAGGTATGTCAGTTACTAGTGTGGGGAGTTGATGACCCCTTGGTGGCGATTATGATTTTTAGATGAATAGAAATTAACCATCAGTAATCAGGATTGTCCAGATGGCAAATGAGAAGAGGACACCTCTCCGCAGAGGGCGCCCTGGCAGCGTTATCTCCTCTGGCTTTTTGGGATGCAGGCTGTACCGTCATGGACCGTAATTACCATAATTTAGGTAGGCCCTAAATATAATATTATTTGAGATTAATTTAGGGTACGCTGTCGAAGTTGAAATGTATGTTTATGACGAAACTGGAGAAGTGCCAGTGATTGGAACGCAGAGATACATGTGGCTAGATTTCTGTACCAAATGTTCGATCAGTCGCGCCGCGAGCTTTGCAATGCGATGGTTTCAGTTAAAACTTGCCTCTCCCCTTTCTGGTCATTTTCACCACACTGTTTGCAGGTGTCCATTTCGATTGCCGTCACAGTCGCAACAGATGTGAGCAGGGGTCTGTTAACAAGCTCCTACTTCGAGGGAGCGAATTGAAGTCAGCAAAAGGGAGGAAAGTGTTTTCATATTAATTTTGTCGGGTATCGGTCGGTGTTTGTGAAAGTCTGCCGTCTGCACACATCGCTCAACGAGAGTGGAAAGAGCAGCGGTAGCCGGACAGGGTGACACCGAAACTTTCTCCCCCTACCCGAGGGGTTAATTGTATTTGACTACGGTGGGAAATCCTAGCTTCAAACCGTGTCTCCGTCTTGTGGGAGATACGGCAGCCAGTGGGCCCCTGATCGCTCGCTCGTTCTCAGGGGAATCGGGTATTTTTGTCAGGGACGCCAATTGCTCTCAGAAGGGGTTGAGGGTGAGTTAAGTGAGCCCCAGGGCGATTGTCATAAGACGTGGCCGAAGTTTTGACAGGGGCTTCCTAAACAAAGAGTTGTTTTAAGATGAAATGGATAGGGTGCGTGTGAGATGTGAGAGAGAGACAAAAGGGGCGACGGTACCTATGAGCCTTTTCGGGGACGCCACAACAGCGTAGCGGTGCGACTCTCTGTCACAAATACGCGGGGCTGGCCGGGGCTTGGGCCCTGCCGATTTTGCACCGACTGCCAAGTCCCCCTGGCGCGCGCCGGGCCGGCACGACATGATCAAATTAGGGTAGAACAACACGGTGATTCTCTGAGCGTTCCGCCGACAATTAGCAAGGCTGGCTGGCCTGCCGGGTACCGAGTGTCTTCCAGCCTCTGACCTCTGCTACTGAGCGGGTCCCGGGACTGCACTTTGTGAAGGGCACCGCGTGTAACAGGCATATCATATCCGTCCAACCTATAGTATAAAGACTAGGAATGAAATGATAATAATTCAACCGGTGTCTATTTCATCCCTGCACATTCCCATCAGCTCATCGCCGCGCCTTTTACATTCTACACCGGACAGAGCGTCTCGCTATCATCATGCCGTAAAATCGGCAACCCGCTACGATACTAACAGCCTGTCATTTCTCAACTTGCCCAGACAGGGTATCGATGAAGATGGGCAAAGCGTCGAGCGGCGCGTTGTCTGGCCTGGACCCGCGTCTCACCCTGCCGTAGGCCGTCTAGAAATGTCGACAGCGCATTGTCTTCTCGTCCGCTGCCCGCCCCTCGACTCCTCTGCGTCGAGTCCCAAATGCCATCGGCTCCTGGCAGCAAGCGATGGCCGCGAATGAACCCGACGGAGGCTGGACGAAGATCTACCAGTAAACGCAATGTGACAAGACTGGGTTCGATCGTGTGGAAGGAAAAACAGGACATCCACAATCCAGAGAAAAAAATACTTAAAGCGTTGCACAAGCTAGAAATACATGTTACACAGTCAACTTGGAAACCGAGAGAACAAAGACAGACATCGTAAAAGATCGCAGTAAGATAAATAATTACATAAAAATCAGTGACTGTAAAATAAGAATGAGATAATTTCATTCAGGTAGATTAGTTGATTTCCCTCGGACCCTAATTTTGCATTATTGGTTTGGATTCGGCCATAATGTAAAAACTTTGGTATTGATATCCCACGTGATTTCCATTATTATCTTAGTTAAGTTGAGACGCTCATAACACGAAAGCAATGAACGATATCATTTGTAAAGTTTTAATGGTACTGGGCATCTAGCCCGGAAAACCACTCTCATTCACAAGAAAGTTCAATGCGAAAGTTCAAGGCGTGTAGAGAGTCTGTAGGTCCAAGGCCAAGTTCGCATTAAGGCACGCAGCGGGAAACCCCGAATCGCTTCCAGTGCATGGAGCGACGGACCCGGACCATCCACCGCCGACCACAACTCCATCGAGATCTGGAGCGCGTACAGGGACGCTCGAGAGCATGCGGTTTGAGTTGAAGTTACTTTGGATGAGCAAAATGTGTTTGGTATTAGTTTCCCTGCAAATCTATCGGGTGCATTCGGCGAAGTTAGACCAGACGTGACCCCGGTGTGTGCCTAATAAAAAAAAATTGTTCAGGGACAAGTTGATGAAGACCACCAGTTTAGGCATGACAGATCTGAACATACGAGATAGCTGGAACCTGTAGGCCAATACGGTACCGGGGATCTGTCTGAGAATTTTTGAAAAACAAAATGCCCAATAAGTTTCTTGGTATTTGCAAAACATGTTCGCCTTCAGGTAGATATCATCAGCGATCTGTATTATCCGTGACACGCCATAGCCACGCTTATGAGTTTTGGCGGGAGTTTTGATCAACAATTGGCGCACGTGGCTGAGATCTGCAGATGCGCAGTCGCTTATCTGGAACTCAAACATGTCCAATTACAATCGGTTATAACTCGCAAACCTCGTCAGGATTATGCCCAGGTGTTTCTATGCGAGTAATTCTGACATTTCACGAAACAAACACTGTTTACAACAGGCCTGATCTTGTGTCATGTAGCTTTTTTGGTTCGTTTACCGCCTAAGAGGATACGAAAATTGTTTTGCATAATCTCTTGAAAGGTGAACAAGCAAAGTTTACTTCATTATTCTAAGGTCGTACACCTAAATGTCCATTTTATTTAAAGTTTGTGGACTGCTCTGGAACCAGTCTACCCCCAGTTTCGGATATCAATTTCGGGAAGCATTTCTGAGGTTTACAGACTCACCTCAAAGCCTATCCTAAAATCATATTGTCAAAGATTTACTGTACACTCATAAAGCCACATTAAGAGGGTCCATCAAGCAATATTGGAGAGGAATCCCCAAGAACCAGTGTAGCCGCAGGAGCTCATGAATGTCTGACTCACCGATCAGCGTAGACCACTGTGCGCTTTTGCGGTATTTCGGGTAGCTCTTGGGGAAAGATCGCTCACTCCATAGTCCTTGGAACTCTAACCGATAGCTGGCCCTCTCCTCACCTCCACACGCCGTGGTCACGTCAACCTGGAAGCTCCCGACGAACACCAGCAAACTCACCAGTTGTAGTCTGCTTCTCTGGGCCATCCTGCTATCAGAGGGAGGGTAGAATACCATTAACTTCTACCTGTGAGAATCAGTTTGGCTTAACTCCGATTGTGGAGCCTTGTCTGTTAGGGATGTTGTTGCTGTCGAGTTGGCTCCTTATTCTTACAACTAACTGTATATATACTTTGACGACCCCTTAGGAATCATGGTTTGCACCAATCCACTCTGCACACAGGCGAACGTTTAACGGGATAATTTTGCATTGTAATCAACCATATTCAACCCTTTTCAGGTGTCCTGTCGACTTGGTTTTCATAGCGCCTTTTTTGTTGTTAGTTTAAGCGATTTCAAACTGAGTTGCCGTTTTGAGTGAGAGACTGAAACACGAAGCTAGCCCCGTTGTCCACAGTCGAACACTAATAAAATAGTGTGTAATAGTGTCGTTTAATGAAATCCCTTGCCAACGTTTTGAAAAGTGCCGCCAAGTGAGGCCCTGACCAACACCCGTGGGCGTTAAATTTTGTCCCTTGTGTGGTCGTACCGTACGTGGCTAAGTAACTCAATTTATTCGAGACTGTAGGGCCAACACGCCATCGGGGATTCGAAGTAAATTGGCCGCATCTCAGCCGGTGTACCGCAAGCGCTCACGACATCCAAGCTCACCCTTTGCCTAATATCATAATCAGAATATGCATTCTGTGACGCATAGGTGGCGCAAAATGTAAGTCACACCACGAGCAACAAACACAGTAGTCTCCACTCGAGTCACTTTCATTCTGAAAATCGCTCGTACGAGACTAGTGCCATCGGAATGACGTCAGGTATTCGATTACTAAATTGACGTCACTGATATGGCCAGGCCGTTGCGTTATTAATTTGCGATAATTGGGATTCACACCTGACATTTACAGCCGGGATTTTCCTTCCCTGAAGGTTAGGAGTTTGCATATTAGTCAAGTAGCGTATGTTGTCGACCTAAGCCAAAAAGACTTAAACTAATTCCCAGGAAATGAAACAGTCTGTTCGTTTAATGTCAAGAAATAAATCCAGTATCACTAACAAAAAACTCAAAAGCACAACTTGAAGTAGTGTGACGAGTTGAATAACCCAAAGTATCAACCGATGAAGATATCTGCAAAGACGGTTTCCATGGAAACCATCTTCAAGTTATAAGTATGATCATACTTATAATAAGTGAACTCCGAAGTCTCTCCTTCCTTTGATATTTTTATAACAAAACCACCTTCGCGTCTTTTCACGGTTCGACAAAGTTCACACAATGAGTGGCTTTCATTACAGGTCGTTTGCGGCCACCGAGACAAAGTTTAAAAGAAAACTTCATCGGTAGTATTATGTCAAAATTCTTGGCTGGACAGTTTTCTTTGATTAAGTATAGCTGCAGTGAAAAAGCTACATTATAAATGGTCACCGTACGACACAGGAAAAACGGAAAACGACAGAATGGCGTTGTATTTTATGAGTGACATATAACTGATTTCGGGATAGGCTAAATTTTAAACGTTCCGAACAGGATACTTTAGGGAAAAGAGTGTTTACTCAAATTATGCGTGAAGCACTTTGGGATGTTTGAAATCAGATCTACGAGCCAGAAATGAATGTCTAAATCTGGCTGAAAAGTAGGAACGATGGAGGAAAAATATTGACTACGGCTTACCTGCTCTGAAGATTGCCTTCGTGGGATGAACGGTGTCACGAACTGCAAATCTTAGACTGTGACTGACTAGTCGATTTCAAACTGGATCTGAGACGAAGTCGAGCTTGATAACCAACAGGAAGCCGGCTTCAGGGACCTCGTCTGGACGGTAGAGGGGTTGTGATGGTGTCTGAGGCTGGTGTGCGGACGCGTCTATCCTTTATGCTAAACTCGCTACGCCCACCCGCGGTGTCAAGCCGCGTATCGGCCGGCCGGATCCAGGGACGCTCTCGTTGTACATCAACTTCAGTCTTTATTGGCCCTACACCCTCTTTCGCCTCGCATGTGGACTTGCTGCTAGTCCGTGGTGCGCTGGCAGGATTGCTATAATATCAAATTTGTCGTAATCGAAGGGATCATTACCGCGCAGCGGTGCTGCCGGTCTTCAAAAGAACTCATGGGGTGGGTGAGCCCATCGACTGGGCGGTCCTTACGTGATGAGGTAACATTATATCGGGGTGCATTCATGATCGCTTTCGCCTTTTTGAGGTTCTTGGGAAAGAGTGCAGCATGTTCCAGAGTCCGGGTTCAAAGGGGACGAGACAAGAGGAAGCGACGGGCCGCTGTTTTCAAAACTTCCTGTACGCAGTTGAGGACAACCAGAACTTTTTAATTGCCAGCTTAAACAAGTGCACATTTTTCGTGGAAACTTTGTTATGGAATCCTTTCGAAAGTAATAAGTAGCAGAGATCTAGAGTTGCGACGAGAAGAAAACAACAACCGTAACAAGGAAAGATTCTCTGAGACCGTCGATAAATATTGCAGTGGTTTACTGGCAATTTCCTGGGATAGCTGTGCTAGATACTATACGCTTGTAACAAACGGGGAAATTGGGATGGTCTGGATTATTTCCCTCATGCAATTAAACTATGAGGCGTTATAACCTTACTATAGATTGAATATCTATACAAAGGATTCTCTTCGGCATTAGAACACCATCTATAATGATTGATGGCTGATTGTTTATTTTGTTGAGAAATTGTCTCATTGCAATAAAAACCAACTGGCCCCAGGGCCCGTAGGCAAATAAATTCTCCCCTAGATCGAAAAGAACTCGGAATTCAAAAGTTCAGCCATTGGTGCAGCTCTGAGATTTCGTTTTCGATTCTCGTCTTCAGGGGAGGAGGGATGGGAGCCTGCGACGCGGTGAACCCGTCTGACGGAAGACCAAAGCCACTCGAAGCCGTCATTGCATCTTGAGATGACGTCATTCCCGGTCGCAGTGCATCAGTTTACGTATTGGCTGTTATAGTAATACCAACAAAATAAAGCACCCATGCCTATTCTTGTGTCGAGACGCAGTTGTATAAGCAAGGGATTTTGTTTTTCAAATACACCGTGCTAATTTTGATGGTAATTGAACCAGATCGTTCAAGTTGCTCAACCTTTCACTACATGGAAATGGCCTCCCAATAGATGCATACGTGAACTTACACACGCACGCATTGCCATCGCTACAACAGAAACAAAGAATTATTTCCAGTAATTGATTTTAGAATTGGGCTTGTAGGAGGAACTCGGCATGAAGTCTGACCTACCTCCTTAGGAACTTATTGCGTCGTTGGTATCGAAGAATTACATGTTGTCGTTTGTTTTTGAAAGTGTGCCAAAATTCTGAGATTGTACACCCCATAGAATGAAAGGGAAAAAGGAGGCACAGCTAGAGATTTGTAATGATCGCTGCTTGAGCCGTTGAAGGTCCTCAAAAGATCCCCTTAGAAGCTCCAAAGCTCCGCCCACAGTGTCTACCCACCTTTGATAAATTATGTTTACATTATCTCAAGCCGGGTGAATAAGTGTTTTAGTTTGAACTTACCTTATGTGGAAGCTGTTATATTTTGCCAAATGATATAGTGTTGCCAACCACGGTCCAGTGGGACTTTCATTTCTTTTTAACTGGTTCAGATTCGGCGATTTCACAAGCATTGTTTGCCACATGTATCATATAACCAGACTTCAAGTAAAAGTGTCACTTGATAAAAACTGACTTTTGGCAGGGAAAGAATTCCTAGTTCTTAAAGGTAAGCTACACGGAGGAAAAATCAGCAGAACTTGGAAAGGATCGCTCAGACCCCCCTTTTGACGGTTTCTACATTTTTACCACTAAACCTATAGGCCTATAGCTCCAGGCTAGTACGGCAGGGATCATAGGCTCTACCTCAAGTTGAGAGTTTATTAGATTAGTGGCAATTTAGCAATCACTTGGGTCGTTTGTAGACATATCAGTGTGATAGTTTTGGGGTCAAGTTGAAGTTCATCTGGCCTGAGAAAGTCCCGGGTATGGGGAAACGGAGGCGGAAAGCCATGGTGAGCAAGAACCTTGGCTTTTGGTGTTGAAAGCTGTGCTTGTGTGAATTTCCCGAAATAGAGTTTATGTATTTAATTCGCAAAGACACAATTTCATACCTGTGACGGATTGTACTTATGAGACTAATTCTGTTCTCTTTGCGTTATGCACGAAGTGCTCTTTGACTATAGGAACGTATACACTGATAATGGTTATTGCTATTTGCCGAGCAATGAGCCTGAAGTGTTTCTGCAAACTGTACTTGAGTTGAGTGTTCGAGATTTGAATTGAACGGGGCGTTATCTGCAGAATCACATTCACTTTACCAGCTTCGAAGCTTTTCCGCTCTAAAAGTGGTCATTTTCAAATATATGGAGCTATCATTTTCTCTTAATAAGTTTTATTTTTCTTCTGAATGTCGCTGCAGACGAAACTGTAAGACTCTGACGGAGTGGCGAAATGGGGCGATCTGTCCTCATTCTGCCATTTCTTCGAGCAGTCTATGTACAGGTATATAGTGGAGTAGTTTGTGTCATGAAGATTTTTATGTCCTACCATGGAGCTGTCGAACGGCCTGCAATGACAAGCCGAGTCAGTGCTCTAGCAGCTGTAGGTATCCGTAGAGTGTGTTCGTGGGACAGGTTCGTAGTTGGAGCGCTGCAGCCGCCGTCACGTAGCGAGGACTGACGTGTAGACTAAGCGGGAAAGCGAGCATCAACGGTGCCCAATTTGACACATCAAAGGGCGCCGCCGGGGCCGTCGGGGCACCAGTAAGATCCACCTGTTCTTAGACTCTGTACAGGTCGAAGATTATGCGTGCCTGCTAGCTTCACATTTTGGGGAAACGATGGCTTGACACTATAGAGGTTTGCTGGGGCTAGTGGTCCTTTTTTCTTGCGGGAATCTTGCTGGATTCTTGGTAGATCAGATTTTACGTTTTTCGTTTACTTATTCTGTGTCGTATACTATGTGAAACTGCCGTAACTTGCTTCAATCACTGGTTGGTTTTCATTGATATGAATGAATTTAGCAAAGTACATGTTTACACGTGATATACGTGTACTCCACACGACATATTGGATCGTTGACTGCGACATTGTAGACGCGAATTATCGCTGTTCAGCAGGGTGAAGTTGTGGCTCACTTAATCCAAGAACTATTATCTTCGTGTAATATTTTGAAAAAGTTATGTGTTAACTGGCAGCTTGTCATATAAGGGCGTTCGCGTAATGGGTCCAATATTTTTTTCGCGTCGATCCGGTGAACTTTGCGGTTTTAGCACCCGCCGTGAGCTGGGCAGCCGGGTCGCAGGGGAAGAGGTGAGTTTTCACGGTGTGAACGATGCGCCCCACGCTCGCCCCACCTGTTCCCCTCGTAGCCACCGCTGGGATCAAGAAGGGGCGGCAGCGGCCCTGAAATGTCACCGGGCTGGGTTCCCTCGTCCGAGCACGGACCGCTCACCGGCCCTAATTGGCATGAGGACTGGGTATATACCCATTTTTAGGGGTCTCTTGGAGGGTTGTCTGGATAACCCGATTAGGCTGGAATTATACCTAAACTGGGTACCGCGAAATGGGTTTCGAAACCGTGGGATCACCATTCACGAAAGCTGTAACAATAATTTGAATATCAGCTCGCTGAATGAAGTTGTTCTGCGTGGGTTTTGGGCCTAAATGTCAATTCACGCGATATCATAACTGGGGTTCGAAACGATGTTTTGAAAGCTGGATGTGAATTGAATTCTTAACCACAAATATTATGTAAACCAGCCCGTATAGCTATTTTTACGCAAGCGCAGTCTTTTAAATGTCACAAAAGGTTTGTCGTAACAGCGTTGCCCTGGTCTGGTGTCCCGAAACGGACAGCGTTGTTTCCCTTGCTCGGGAGAAGCAAAGAAAGGGTCCGAAGTGGTATCATAAACAAATAAAGCCTACACGTTTGATTCAAACCTCTTCCCCACCAATCGTACAGGGGGTTGGGAACCCCAGTCAGTGAAGTTCTTGTCAGTTTTTGGTAACCGCTTTGGACATTTTTAGCCTGAGTAGCGACACCGCAGGGTTCATTCAGCGCCGACCGCGGTCTTGGTGGGATGCCACAACCCTCGCCACATTCTTTCTATCCTTCGTCTTCAAAGTTGAACATGCAAACAGTATGTCGCCGTTGTTTTTCAAAGCTTCTGCTCTTGCTTATATTTCCGGCCCGAATTAATTGTGGCTCTCGCCTAGGCAAACACTATGCATCCTAATAGAGTATATTGTTTCAAAATGTAAAAACACACATGGTTAGTTTGGCACGAGGAAATGACTATGACCTCAACATGACTCATTGCGTTTGTCATTTGCAATTGAATAAAACATCATTTTATTCCTGTATAGCCATATTTGGAGGTGTTATGAACCCAGCTGTACCTTTACATTCCAACTCCATCCCCTTGGGCGCCAAGTTGTTTTATTATACCAAGGTTAGCCGCGCTGAGTGACAGATACACTTGATGTACCCCTGCGCTGACAACCGAGGGTGTCCCAGGCAGAGGCCAAGATCGGACAGGAAATGGTTGATTACACCTCGGAGAAAAACTGTCAAGATTTTTTTTCTCTTAAACGTTTCTGAGGGAAATTCTTGATTTGATTGCATACACGAAAACGGGTCACAGATGCGTCACTAGTTTTTCGTGGCTAATTAAAGATACTTCCCGGTGAGTGAAACAAAAGCCCGGATGTGACCTTCATGCGACCTTGCTATGCCTCCTGAAGCAGATTTTCTTTTGCCTTTTGGGTGGTTTAACATGAAGTGTTGGAGAAATTTGAGAAGAATCCTCATCCATGCATTGCCGATATCGCTTTAGTGTGCTCAAGGAACGTATGTACATTCCTTGCTAGAAACGAGTGCAATCAGTGACAAATGTAAACCACTGGTCAATTTTGCCCGGTGCCCCATACATATTTCATGCTCTATGCATAGGTTAGTAGTCAAAATCGACCGTTGGTTGACAATTTGTCGTTGATAGAACTTGCTACATTGATTCATGACTCAGAGTTTGGAAGCGTGCCAAATCGCTTGGTGATGGAGGTGTGAAAGTGTGAAAGTTGTTAGCAGACCAGGGACGCGTGCGTCATTGGAAGCAGCGGGATCGCACCATCGCCCGGCCGACCGCCGCCCACCACGTGCTTTTGGCGGTTCCGATGCCGCTGGTCTGTTTGTGGTCGAACCCGAGGTGATAGCAGCACCCACTAAAAACAACCACAGAAAACACGAACACCGCACCAAAATGTAAACAAAGACTTCCCTGCTCTCCGAAGACCTCGAGGGGCGGATCGGAAGCTGGTGCTTGTCGGATGGAAAAATGGAGCGTGTTTTCCCATCAAAGCTTATCATTTATACAGGTGATGCCTCCAATTGTCCAACTGGTCTTACTTTCACCCCTGCTTTGTTGACATAACTAGGAACCAAGTACCGGTACCCATATTTTCGCTATGCCCTGAAGGAGTTGTAAAACCTCCGATATTCGAGCTGTGATTGTACACAGCTTGTTATACAAGCATAAATTCTACTGCAAATGTTTTGCAAACTTCGACTCGAGTTGACGCTCGTCTTCGTCAAAAATAACCCATGAAGGGAAACTGCATGGCTAGGTGCGTATATGTAATGATCACGAAGAAAGACAGCGATTCGAAATGATTTGGAACCTGCGACCACCAGGACACTGTACTGACGTGACACACTTCCACCGAGTTTTCACAGTTTTGGAAAGGTGACTTTAAAAATGTAGTCCTTGGGAAAATATGGTTGAAAACCATTCCATTTGACACACTTTCTGTGAGAATTAAAAGTTGTCACGGCCTTTTTGTAGTGGTAAGATAAATTTGTCATTTTAGTCTTCAAACTTTTGAAGAGAAAAATTTTGCTCACACTAAGCACCAACTTTGCCCCACAGTAATCGGGCCTAGCAGCGGTCTCCCAACTTTAAAGTGGGTCAAATGCCCGCTGGCTTTGATTGAATCTGAAAAACCAATTCACCTGGAGGTGACCACTTTGATCGGCCCGGACAACTGAGTAGTCGCAGGCCCAGCGGCAGCCAAGCGGCAAACGGTGGGGACGAGCCCCGGCGGACGCGGCAAGGCACACGGTGACTGTAAAGTCCGTACACTCGCCACCCACAGTAAACACCCCCGACAGCCTAATTCCTCGTAATTGGGCCGCCAGTAACAAAAAACTGTTTCAGATGAAAGACAATCCTTGCTCCCGTGTGATGCATACAGCGATGCCGCAATTGGACCATTTCTGCTTGTTAACCAGGGTTCAGGTCACTATAGGTCCACGTCGTACCTTTTACTTCTTCTGATCAGTTTGTACTGGCAGTCTGAGGAGAGAGTTTTGCGTATTGAGAAAGTACTTCGATTTGGGCTCAGGCCACCCAGGGGATCCGCTACAGGGGGCGGGACCAGAAAGACAGAAAATGGAGGTGCGCTTGCCTGGACTTGATTGGGCCCTCTACTTGGAGAGAAGAGATACAGACTGTATGGCCTACTATTCACAGAATGATCGGTGAAAGTGTTCCCACGTGGTCTGCAATGTGAGATTTGAGTGACAAGGCTTGCCCTTTTGCGCTTAAAATTCTACGGTTGCGCAGTGTAAAGAAAAAAGGGCATTCACGTTTAGCATGGTTGCAATTGGACTATGTCGGAAAACAGTCCTGATTTGACAAGCCTCCACCATTGTACACAACACTAATATCATGAGTGCTATACGCGTTCAATTTTACCACGGACCATTATTTTACCAATTGGTCTGAACTGCCAACTTTTTCTTGTTCAGTTGGGGTCAAAAGAGGGCGCTTTTCGTCACGGACAAAGAGAGCCTGATCAACTCACAACAGCAAAGAAGACCATGGCGGAGAGGAAGTTGAGTATTGGAAAACGGCCCTATACTCGTGGATGGGGAGGGCTGGGGGACGGATTAGGACAAGCAGCTTCCGTCAAAGCTGAAGATAAAAATCGAGATAAAAGAAAGTTGCGATGAGGGCCATAGAACGAAGAGCCTGTAGCCATAACTCTGATATCAATCTTGTCGAATGATTTGCCGAAAATTCCGCCATCTATCCATCAGTAGCCTTTTCTTTCAAATTCACGGAAGTGAATAATTGTTTTGAAAATTGGAAAATTAATCGTTTGATAGCGCAGCGTGATATTGCTGATTTGCGTCGAGCAGGGTATGGTGGCCCTGGAGGAACATCGCCTATCGTCAATATTGACGTCAATATTATATTCACGGCCAAAATTCACGGCTCGCTCTCTGGTCGCGAATATTGACGTTAATCTTTGCGACTAAATTTACGACTCATTGTATCGCTGGTCGCAAATATTGCCGCGAAGTGTTTTTTCCTGCAAGCTAGGCGGAAATGAAGCATTGACGCGCTCGTGGAATGATCTACATTTTTGCGACCAGAAAGCGAGTCGTGAACTAAGTCGTGAATACTGGCGTCAACATTCGCGACCGAAGAGCGGGTCGTAAAATTGGTCACAAATATCGGCGTCAGTATTGACAATTGGTGATGTCCCTTCAGGGCCATTAGGGATATTCATCCTTTCTCGATTATTATTTTTGTTGTCTCGAACAGAGGGCGCCCTTGTTGATATCGCAGGCGACAATACCCCTGTTGACTCTTATTTTGCCTACAACTTGTATGGGCGGCCGAAGTTTGCATATAGGCCTATACGAAGAATGTTATTTTTACTATCGCAGTTTATTTGAAAAAGATACGTCACCTCAAGTAATAGGCAACATTAGCATTCCGCGGGTTGCGAACTGCACGAACAGTTTATATGGTTTCATTTCTCTTATTTTTTCGATTTGTTTTGTGTTTTTGTCAGCTGTTTTTCCCTTTTTCTTTTGGATGTTGACTTGCTTAATTAATTTTTTTTCTGTTCACTTTTTGGGGGTGGTTTGTTTTCTGTTTTCGTATTTTTGGCTTTGTATCTACATCTCACATTCTGTTTTTTTTAAGTTATTATTATTTTATATATTGTTGTCACGGAGTCTGGTCATAGACTTCTTTGGATAACAGGTTTTTTTTAATTTTTTACTTCCAAGTCCCATGTGTGTCTTTTATTTTTTATATCTGAAGATTTAAGATACAAAATAGCTATATAAATAAACAAAGTCGATGAAAAATTGCATGAGATCTGGAGGATTCTTGGCGGTTATTTTAACATTATAACCAAAACTTTTACTTCAATTCGCACTGATCGCTCTGAAAATTGCCGTCATATAAAGAACGAGAAATTTGAGCATTTGTAGTGTGTACTTTGGGTCCTTATATAACCTTGACGGTTGATATTCCTTGCATAGTTATGACCATTTATAGGAGCTGTATTTCAGATTCTTTGGCTTAGTGAATTATGCATCCCGTCTCTCGCACACTGTGAGAAAAAAACACGATAGTGGATCGTCGCAGCGAGGCCAATCCTCACAAGTAACAATGCAACGGCAGTCCCTTTGGGAGAATTGATGGGCGGTGTTGTGCATAAATAATGTGCGCTGGAATATAAAAGCACTTTCCATTATACCACGTCGCTCATGCATGTAAGAGCATAAAACATTTTCCCCGGAATTAAACAGTGTTATGTAACCGTGTGCTGTAAAAGCGTATTGTTACTATTGATGCCCGTCATGGTGGCGATTTGAGCCTGAAGTCCTTCAGGTGTTACGTGGACTGTTTCAAACGGTATTGGCGGGCTTATTTTGAAACACTGACAAGTATTTCACAGAGTAGAAAAGAATGGCGGATCGTGGTAGGGGCGAAACTGTCGATTCTGCTCTGTCGTACTCTGTACTGGAGAATGACGCGGATATTTACACCGGTCCGTCGGACGAGTACGGGCCGAGCAGGAGGGTCAAGTACTCTGGCCGTAGCAGTGACCGGGCGTCTGGCCGCCTCTCCCGGGGCCTCCGCGCCGCTGCCCCCCACGTGGTCCTCGTCACCGTCTACCTGGTCTTTCTCCTCTTCGGGGGCGGTTTCTTTTACCTCCTGGAGGGAAAGCTGGGCGTTGCTTTGGACGTGAGTGAGGAAGTAGAGTACTCGGAGTATGAGTGGATGAAAACGAAGATCGAGATGACGCTGGAGCACGAGAAGCTGACCGAGAAAGGGACCAATGCCACGGGGAACTGGTCGGCGCTGTGGGGTGCCTTCAATGAGTTCGTGGAGAAGCGCTTTGGGTTCGACCCGAAAGTTGGACATAAGGTTCAGAACGAGCTGTCGTTTGGCCGGAGTGTTCTGTTCTGTGCAACAACGATGGCCACTATCGGTGAGTAGGACTGGTCTTTATTTTGAAAAGGCAGTTAATCTATGGTTGGTGTGATACAGATAAGAAACATGCTCTATTGTGTAGGAGAAGAACTTTATATTTTAGTATAGTTTAGTATAAGTTAAGTGTTTCCTTTACCAAAGCGATGCACAGGACTTTAGTCAAGCGCTCTGTTTTAATTCGGGATTTACCGATTTATGGTGACAATTTATCTTGTCAAACACGACAGTCACTGATCTTCGGAGATAAAAGTTGGCCTGGGATTGGTAATAAACAAATGCTTCTAAGAGTAAAATCCTGTACGTGTATCCTCTATATATGCTACCGAGTATCGTAAATATGTCCTTTGTATTACACAGATGCACTGTTGCTGCACTCATCTTCCGTTGCACCATGAACCCAATTTTAATAACTGTCACAATCAACTGCCTTATCTCAAAAGAGCGCCCTCATTACTTAAACTGAAGTGACAAGTGACTTGTCCAGGACGGGGACAGGTTGGATATATTGGAGGGAAAACCGTGGCCCGTAGTTCAAATCTCCTGAGTTAGACGTAATCGTGTCCTCGTTTGTCTACTTGTAACCGACAAGTTAACCATAAGTCACTTATGTGCCTCCCCTAGGTTATGGCGACTCTGTACCGAATAACACGGGCGGGAAGGTCCTCGTGGTTTGCTTGTCGCTCGTAGGCATCCCACTGACCCTGCTGGTCTACGCCGACATCGGTAAACTGCTAGCCCGAGGCTTGGCCTCCTTGGTCGATAAGTGGCGCAACCGGGGAGGAGGAGCCCCCAAGAGACACACCGACAGTGACCCAGCCGAGCCCCAAGCTCCAGCCATTCTGGTCCTAATCATCCTGGTTCTCTACTTTCTCCTGGCGGCCATGGTGATAGCCCTGATCGAGGGCTGGTACTATCCAGACGCCCTCTACTTTACCTTCATCACCTTCACGACCATTGGCTTCGGGGATATTGTTCCCGTCAGCCACTACGATCACGTGCCGTCATTCGTCATCCTCCTGCTTTTTTTCCTGCTCGGTTTTTCTTTGGTCGCCATGAGTATCGTCCTGTTGCTACCCAAAGTCATGGCGCTGATCCATCAGGTGGCCGAGAAAGCCGGATTTTGAAACTAAAAGCAAATGAAAAGAATCGGCGAAGGTGCAGAGCCCCCCCCCCAAAAAAAATTTGGTTGTTAAGCCACACTGTGGCATTTTAATTATTACAGTTATACCTGTTTGAGGTGTTTAAGGACAGTTTGAAATACACGTAGTTACTAATTAGTGTAGGCAAAGTTTGACATAGCCACCTGGTTAGTCTGAAATTGTCAAACTTGAGTAAGTAAACATTTCAGCGTTTTGTAGTTCTTGTAATTTATTTTGTTTGTATAGTTTTATGGCATCAGTACCTCCAAATGCAATATCCGTGTTTTGTCAACAGCGCCACTTATTGACCTGTCACGTATCTGTCACAGATTGACAGCTATGAATTTAATCCCAATTTACTCGTAGTAGGTAATATGGATCTAACTTTTCACCTTTTGAATTCTTCCAAATCTCGAAGTTTTTTTCACCAGTGTAATCATTTCCCCACATTTTAACAAATGTTGCATTTTAATCTGTTGCTGCTTTTGTTTTTTGATCGTGATCATAGTCTTGTAATTAAGGCAATGCTGCAATGAAAAAGCTATGAGTAGACGGCGTGAAATGTGTGTAATGAAACTGTCATCAGGGACAGGCACCAAACAGTGCCTTTGTTGATTTGAAAATGAGTGATTTGGAAGTTAAGGCAAAATTAAATAGTATCCATTCGTCAGCAATATGCACGAGTTTCAATATATTATGAACGGATCTGTTCTCTAGAAAACTTCAATCTCAGACAGAAAATGAAAACAGTTTTTTTTTTACAACACGACGCCTTACTCCTTATTGCTGCTATTTGAGATTTCGAAAGTTTTCCCCAAATCTTTAACATTGGGGTCACCTTTCGAGCTTTGTGTGAAAATTGATAACATAAAGTCACACAGAGGTGTGTTTCGTCTATTTAGACCGACATTTTTTCTTAGATATGTACCAAATAAATCAGAAAAATTTCAAATCGAAATAAAGGACGTGGTTTTGGAAGTCGAGCCTATTGTTTGATTTTAGGGAATATTGTTTCCCCACATAAGCTTGATCGCTTCCTCACGATTTACGTATAGAGGGGCTTACCTATATAGACGTGGAAATTTTCTTGGCAACCTTCTGCAAGAAATCGCCAGTGATTATCCAAACCAAAACTGACCTGACAGCGTTTTTCAGGCTTTCAAAGCTCCCGTTTTCAACTCAAATGTGCGGCGATAAGGATAATCATTTTTCAAGACGCTGTTCGAAAAAAAGTACTTAAGTAACCTGTAAATGTTCATAGGCAAAGTCAAGTGACGGGTCTTGAAGTGTCGAGGCACATGCCAAAACAGTACACTGTATTTACAAAAATTTCACAGAAATGATTAGTGAAGCAGTGAAGCTCCATGTACCACCCAACATGGAGTCATGGCGCCCTCAGCAGGCCAAGTTTGAACTTGTCTCAGCGGACGCAGTCTCTCTCGCAGTCGCCGAGATTTGTACATTTGACTCGATGTCCTCATTCGGAGAGTTGGCAGGTGGCCGCGCGCCCTTGAGGCATCCTCACCAACAACGGACGTCCATCATTGTAACTTTTGAGTCTGTTTCAATTAATTTCTGACCGATACGTGCATTTCTCAGCATTCACCCCCTTTAAATTTATTCATTTGTTTATTTCGGGAAATGTAAACAACACGGGCAAGCTAAAACATAAAAAACTAATTATCAAGCCAAGGATAGCCCAAAAACTTGTTTCGTCGATGAGCGATTTAGCACATATTTCCCCTCTTGCCTGATGACTGAATCAAGAGAAACAAATCAAGAATTTTTGGATTTGGCGGGAAGGGCAAAATGAAGATGGACCAATAGTACCCATTAAGTCGGAGCTAATTCTAAGGATTGGATTGTTTACGACCAAAAACTGATTGAATCTACGACTTACTTGGGGAAATACAGCATCAGGGTCGCCACTGTAATTTAGATCGTTTCATTAATTAAGCAACAAGAAACGTGTCAGAAAGTTACATCCAATTTATTCTGGTCAGAATACACTGTTCGGTGTTTAAAATTGATGTTTTCAAACCCCCTTTTAAATCTGCAAGTGAACTTTAAAAACCGGTCAGGTCATCAAAAGTTCATTGTGATAAGGGTGGCGGCTTCACTGTGTTGTCAAAAAATCTCGCTTTTGCAGTCCAAGGCTACCGTTGACGTACCATCCACTAAAATACGGTTCACTGAATTCATTCACAGGGAGAGCACAAGTGGTTTTTTTATTTTAAGTAAGCGCTATTTACTACCATGGTACTTGACCCAAGTAAAGCCCTTGGTGTTATAAGCAAGACCAACCGAAATGAAAGCGACCATTGGAATAAGCTTCCAACTGCCGTAAAGGCATGGTTTGTCCAGAGAACTGTACCATTTGCTAATACCCTTTATTGCAGAATAAAAAGTGAAAGTTTAAAAAAAGTCAATTATCCCCATGTGACGTGAGTAATTTTGGTATAAACACTCAAGACTATATCAGTCTGTTTCAGCCGAGTAAACGGTAATGTGTGAACACGCTTCAGCAGAATAACAAATTCTTCATATATTCACTTTAAATTTTTTCCCACGGACAATGCGAAGGCCAGACCTTGGTGATTTGTTCATTACTTTGTTAAAAGCACCATTGAAGATAGCATAGCCTTCACGTTTGCTGAAAGCATATATCTGCACACAGAGAAGCATATCATTACTTTGCTCTCTATTATAAGGCGTTGGCGCGACATGAGAATTCCACTCTTCATCCATTCATTTCTTTTGTATGCTTGGCTTGGTGTCTCATTATCCCGATGGGCTGATGATGTCTTGATGTACGAGGATTTAGACTGCCATTTGCTGGACGATTCGCTCCCACCGGTGCAATCTAATTTCGTGGAGATTCGAGCGTTTGTATTGACGAAGCTGATGGGAATCAGTCTCGATCAGTGTTTGTCACGTGATGAATTTTGGCTTGCTCAGTGTTTTGAAGAGCATGCACTGCTTCTGTCCACCCAGTTCGGTTGCAGTGTTCAGATTGTTTCAACTACTTCCTCAGGAAACAATACTCTGGCAATAGGGAAAAATTGTTAGAGGTGCGGAAGAATCTTGCCAAATCGAGTCATTTTCTTTGCACTTCTTTTATCTTCGAAACTTAAATTGTTCCGCTGTAATTCCAGGAACGGTCCCTATCGCATGAAATGATGATTCCCTCGAGAAACTAAATGTCAAATTTGGCTGGCCAAAATAGTTTGACAATTTCTGGCGGGTTTGAAAAGTTCAGACGGCTTCAATAATTCTTATGACCAACTATTTTGTGACATTTTATTTCCGTGTGCCGGGGACATCACACATCCCACGAACACAATCTCTGCACATAACCCATTGTCGTTTGGTATTAAGCTGCACCATTTGAGGTTGTTTGTCTAAAAGCCAACTACAAGTCCTTGCTCAGCAAACCAATGTGAAAAGAAACGCGTGCTTGGTTCAAGATTCACGCACACGCATGACTAAGCTGTTCTCTTTTATCATTATAATCAAACTGGTTGCGTTGCTGCGTTTGTTGAAGTTGGTTCATTCGTTCTTTCGAAAACCACCAAATATTAATCTGACCTAATCATTAATCATTATCTCGTAAGTCCGAAAACAGTTCCACGGTTTCCTCGTCAGAAGCCAACAACCCTTGAAGCTGTCTACTCGAAACCAATGGATGGATGGCAGGATGTACTTCAACCCGGAAACACCCAAGGGGTTGGACGAGTGCACATGCAACATCGTGCGATCGATTTTTGGAATGCCTTTGTGCTCTGCTTGTAAGCGCACATGCATGGCTCCGTCAACGAGCGCACGTCGAGTACATTGACCGTCCAGTGCTGATTTGAGGCAAGTGACTGTCCCGAATTAGAATGAGTGATAGCCGAATTGCCCGGACGAACTTCGTTATACGTGGAATAAGGATCATTTTCGATGAAGGCAATAATCTAGTCGGCTACGCCCGTTACCGCACATATGAATCGTTGGGATAGGTATACCTCCATAATTAGACGAAGTACTTTCCACCTTGTTAGATCAAAACAGGCCGGGCTTCAGAACCGTCGAGTCATTTCCTTGCTTAGTGTCTACATGCGAATTTCGCATTTTCGGCGGTGCATTGTTCATGCGTAAGAATGACCGCGCGGAAATCGTGGCATGTCTTGACAAATTGGATTAGAATTTAAGCTGTCACTTAAGGTAATAAACTACCTTTTTCGGGAGAGGACAAACAGGCGAATTCTCTACACAGTTGGCAGCTGGGGAAGATTTTGCATTTTGTATTTACACTTCAGGGTGTAACTTGTATGAAGTTCATGTCGTTGGGAGCGAACGCAGGAGATAATGTAACCCCATGATCGCCGCCATGCCGAACAAGGAGAACCAGCCCAAGGAAGGCTGTCTGACCCGGGGTCTGCGCACCTCCTGGCCCCACTTCGTCCTGCTCTTGGTCTACCTGGCCTACCTGGGAATCGGAGGGGGGATCTTCCTGGCCCTCGAGGGGGGCAGCCCGTCGGACTTCTCCCGCGAGGTGGCCGAGTACGAGGCGCTGAAGGCCCAGATCTCTGGAGCGGTCCGGAACGTCACAGAGGGCCGTGAGGTGACGGTAGGGAACTTAACGGAGCTCTGGGAGACGTACACGGCGTTGGTCAACACTCCCTACCTCGACAAACTGACCTACTTGAGCCGAGTGGATTGGACGTTCACTGGGAGTGTGCTGTTCTGTGCGACAAGTATCGCCACAATTGGTGAGTAACTTTAGTTTTTTTTGTTACAAACTATCATTTGTGCAAACTATCCAACACTTTTAGATGTACGGTCTCCCTTTTTACTTTATAATATCACTTATGTTATCTTTAAAAAATGAATTGAAATCGTAGATTTAACACATTGCAAGAATTTCCAAATTGTACTTGGCTGATCAACCAGGTACTTTGCTTGAAATTAAATGTCAACTTCCTCTCGTGGCGCTTTGCAATGCGATTGTTGTCTTTTCTTTTTAAACTTGAATTATAAACGCTGGAGGCATTGCTCAGGGGTTTTCATTGGAAACTTGGAATGATATTCTCGCGTGAATTTTATCGTTGAAGCACCGGGCCCCTGCACTGTTGCTACGAAAATATTAAATGGTGAAAAAAGTAATTCCAAATCCAATCGAAATGGTAGATTAATAAATTTCACCATTGTTGAATCGCAGTGTTTGTTATATCTCGTTCGGTCATCATTTTGTTGTATCTCCCTAAATTGACATGTAATTTTCCATTCCATATCAATGCAAATACCAGCTTTTTTTTCTGATGATGAGGTGACGAAGGTCAACCGTATGGAGGGAAGATAATTTATCGATTTGTCCGTCCAATTTAATGAGCCACCCACTGCTTTCTCCTCAGAATAATTATTGCCCTGTTCGGAATGTTTGGAACATTGTCATTGCGTGATTCCTTTTAAGTTTAATGTGCTTTTTTTTCTTAGAATAATTCTTCCGCTCGCGAACCGTGCGTTTAAATATTTCAAAAGATCACTCGTGTATTGTATTGTGTGTGTAGATTGTGTGGGTGGTGATGCATATCTCGAGATGGCTGTCAATGTACGTGACCTCCAAATTGTCGGTACTACTTTGAAGTTATGGAAATAAGGGCATATAATTTAATTAGCTTCTTAGGCTTCAAGATATGCCACCACAATTCATTCCATAACTGATTGCCCGTCCTCCTGGAGTTCCTATATTGTATGAGGGGATTTGAGGCGCGTAGCTTTCAGGAGCCTTGCCGAGTAAAACATATAAAGATTTTCGTCCCGTTTCGGCCATTTTCACCGTCCCCGTTTTTGCAGCTATCAGCGTTGCGATATTACTTTTAGAAGTCTTCACCCCCAACTGTGCACGCCTTGTCACGCTACTGAGGGTATGGGGGCTTTTTGTGGTAGCCATCTTGCAGGGCAGTTCTTTTCTTCCACAGGGAAACCCCCGTTGTGCACACCCTGTGGAATAAAAGCATTGACCTGCAAAATGGCAGCCATGCAATCCCCCAGTTTGGGGTTCATGACTCTGTGTAATTAAGAGTTGTCCCTTATCGTGTCTTATCTGAGAGCTGCTTAAGAAGGTTGTTAGATAAAAAAAAACAGTTCTAGATAAAAAAAAAACACTTCCAGAGTTGGTTCGATCATTATTTGTCGTGGTCATGTGGAGGTTGTGTTTTTACAACTGTTTGTGAAACAACGTGTTTTTACAACTGTTTGTGAAACAACGACTGTTGGTAGCTCGGGCTAATATGTCGATCTTTGTAATTTTCGAGGGGAGTTTTCTAACTCAACCCAGACAAGCCAGCGTTAGATGTCCCCACTGGGCGAGGAACGGTCTGCCGTCTTTAACGAAGATGCTGTCACAGGAACACACTCCTAAGGCGACTCAGCATCCCCGTCGTTCCCCCGTTTCCTTTCTGCTGTATGTGACGCCAACCTAGTGGATACATTTTGACTCGTGACGGAAGACCCTTTCATCGGGCAAGACAGCAGCAATATACATACTCATAGCGAGATATTCAAGTCCGGAACTCCGCAAAGTTCCTGTACTTAGCCCGGCTCTCTGGCTTGATCGGCACCACAATAGCGGTGCACTTGTTTATAATACTTTCTAATGTGGGTTCTGTTGCCTCGATTTTAATACAATTCTTTTTTTATGTTGGAGGAGGTTGGGCGGCCATGTTCTGTTGGAATATTCATAGGTTAGCAAAGTAAACAACATTTTGAAGTCTGCGCACAGCTATTGAATATTTGTATTCACGTGACCGAAACCCTTTCACTACCCTGAACATTAAAAGTCTCGTATCTCGGGGGCTTGGGGTAAAGAAAGATTGTTGCTAGTTGTGTTTTCAAGGGTAAATTATTATCCACTTACAACTTACCGTCCGTCTTCTTGAAATAAATGCAGTGGCACCCGTTTTGGTTAATATCACAAATGTATTGAATCCATTGTATTCTTTTAGTATTGAGAATAATAACGACTGAATAATTGCGCAAGCATAATCTTCGATAATGTCCTTCAGTCTTTTTTAGCAACATGCATGAAAATGTCATTTTATGCAAGGTAGTTATGGAAACAGGCACCCGGCTCGGCGACTGCCCGATCATGGTAAAAAAAAATGTAGCAACGGCCAACTGCGGAACGGTTGACGCAGCATTATGTTGATGACGGACTTTCATTTTTATTTAATCCTCAGCTCTTATCGAACACTGTACACTCGGAAACAACGGAACATGGAACCGTTCCTATTATTGTAATGCCAAACAATGGCAAACATTGACCATAGTCTAGTTTAATCAATCACTGGGAGGACTTGCTCAATTTTCATACACTAGTCTTGTCTAGATTTTGGGACGAACCGTTTTATAAAGGCGCGTTTGCGGCAAGGAAGACCCCTCCGTGAGGTTCTCAAGTACACTTGGTGAAGAATCCCATGCTTTTATAATGGCGCAAGCAAAATCAACTTTGACCTTTCGTTGTAACCATTGTGTTCGTAGTAACTGGCATATTTCTTGACATGCGAGGCTTTTGTCTGTCCAATTTTGTCTGCCCATTATGAAGTAAACGAAAGAAAAACCGAAAACAAAACAAAAGCACCCCCCCACAAAAAAACTTTATATTTTTTACGTTGTTTATCTATCAATACTTGCAGTATCGCAGAGTTTCTCTCTGGTCAGGGCGACCACAGCATCCTGGTGGAAACGTCGAGTTCACACTTACCGGTTCTTCTCATAACCTTTACTTTTACTTAGAAGAGATTGAATCCACATGATCGACCCGCAAACCTTCTCTTATAGTCTGGCCTACACCATTCAAAGTTACAAATCTTAACACTCCAATGTTCTTCCTTCATTGTAAAGCGAAACCCAGACCTGAACGCAACAGTGTAAACATCTGCAGGAAGGGTTTTCTTAAACAACCGGTGAAAAAAGGAAAGAGGAAGTATCTTGGCGCATTTTGTCACATACAATGCCAACTTAATACCCTGTGCGAGGAAGTTACACAGATCTGTTTGTTGTTTTATCTTGAATTCGGACGAGGTCCTGTAACGAACACCCCTGACTTCCAGATATGTAAACAGACCAAGCGACGAGATTATTTTACAGAGACGCACTCACGTGTATGCATAATGTTCGGGTCCAATCATGTCCGTGGCGTTTGAACGACCCGCATATAAATGCGCCACCATTAGTTCTAGTGATAGCGGTGTAGCCGCGCCCACGCGGCTGTTCTGACATTCATGCATCTGGATACATACCTCGAACATGGGTTTATTTGAGCCCCAGTAATAAATACTTGCTGCTAAATTGTGAGGTATCAAGTTGCAGCTTTAGTGGCAGCCGAAACTGAAATGGATATCCTTGTTGAAATTGTGTCAGTAGAAAATCCCAACAGCTCTGTATTTGACCTTCGCAAAGAATATCTTTTCAGTGATCGCTACGCGCAAAGGTAGTATGCTCAATATTCTTGGATACTGAACAGGACCGGTAATTTTAAAACTTAGTTATGTAGTGTTGCTATCGTAGTTCGATCCTGTAGGATCATGTCTCGCTAAGAAGGTAATGATATTTATATTCCCTGCTCTTTGCAAAGTTGTTTAGAACAAAGTGTTTATTAAATAGGGTATATAGCAACTGAGCATTGGTCATCGTCACAATGAATTAACATTCCTTTTGGAAAAAAAATGTTCAGAGCCTCTCAGTCGTAAAACCCGAACTGTTTCAGTGGATGCAGTAGTCCAAGTTAGACTACTGCAGTTTTTGCCAACGACCTTACTTAAAATCTGCTAAAATGTACAGCAACACTTTTAAAAAGCAATGCCCTCTCATTTTACAAGATGACTTGTATTCCTTATAAGTTGCCTGTATCATTGATACTCGTAAAAGGAAATCTACAAAGTCAATCTCCCTAGAGGTTACCCGAACTACCATTTAGATTATTGTCACCAGCATTATCAAATCGTTCTGCAAGATCAATTATCATTGCTGAAAATATTTCTCGTAAATAACATTGTGTATACGTGCCAATGACTCGTATACGCGCCAGCTACCGTTCTGTGAGTCAGCAAACGACTACAATTCATTATTCGTAAAATTCAGTTCCACCCTGTTTGTTACGCTGGCAGCTTTGGGTGTGTCCCTGGAGTGTTTTCATAGGAAAGCCACAATATTTTAGAATCTTATTGTGTTTTAATAATAAAAAACCAAGCTTACCGATTCCCAGCGAACCCGTAATAAAGCCGAGTAAAAAAAAGAAAGAAAGAAAAACATGTAAAAGGTTCTTGTCTTGTCCCCTTTTAAATTCGTTCCTTTTTAGATAATGTTTCGTCGTATTTTGACATTTATTTTCTTGACAACATATATTATGACACAAAATAATGAACCAAAAAGGCGTGAAAATCTAGTCATCCTCCGGGAAAAATACACCGAATATGCTTACGGGACTGCCCCCTCTAAATTGTCTTCAGTGTTTGTCTTAATTGACTTGTTTCTTTCATACTTTGATCAAAATTCTTCTTGTCAGACAGACAGGGGATCCTCTTGCAATGTGAGGGGGAACTCTAGTGTTTTGAAATCTAAGCTTAACCTGTTAGCTGGTGCAGATAGCGATATGGCGACCCCTGTCGCTCTGTTGGTGAATACACAATTAACTCGTTTATAATACGATTTGACCAATCCTTCAGTTTTTCCAGGCCCAAACCATTTTGCTCATTGTAACCGCAACGCCCTGTTGGACGTTCGATATTTTCAAGGGGATCCTCATTACTTGTCTACCGCCCAATAATTGGCAGTTGACTTTTTGGGGGGGGCCTCGAAATGAGAATCTCGACTCTCGGGTGCTCACCCATGGACTTGTGCAGTGTCTCCCGCTTTACCGTTTTTCTTTGGACTGCGCTTGCCATGATAAATAGTTCATTTTTTCTTCAGGTCGCAAGGGCCTGTCGTAAATGGAAGAGCGCAACATGTGTATTATATATTTAGGCCAAGTTTCGAGCGGTTTTTATTATATATTGGTGAACATTTTTTCTTCCCTTTGGTGATTCAGTGCAAGGCCGCCGTTATCATGATCATGGAAGTGTGCCATCAGTCATGAATTGTGAACAATTGACGAATTTGTAGTCTCAGGCACAGTGGGGGACTGGTCAATATCTCACACATTATTGCCAGATGCTGCGTTTTCACTCGATTCACAGGCCTTGCCGAATGAATTGGTTGTGGCTTGAAATTAAGCAGGAATCTATGGGAAATGGCATCAGCCATCGACGTTGACCTGTGCGTAAGCTCAAGCCGCAGCCACGTAATTCAGACACTGCCAAAGTAGTTTGAATAATCGTAACAATTCTGTGCCACTGGCCTCATTCAAAGGTCGGCTATATATTCAATTGAAAGCGAGGCAATCCCTTAAAATAATACCAAAAATGTGGGAAGGAAGAAGATGTAACAGATGCAAATGAGGTGGAAATTATCATCGTTACTTTGTATATAAAAATATTTCCCAATTTGAGACTTTGTCTTTAATTCTTGCTAAATAGTCATCAGGCGCCTTCCCATTTCAAAGTATTATATATAACTCACTCGGATTCGTGGAGCGTGATACAGAAATTGAATCTTCAATCTTTATGCTGGTGCACTGCAGTGCCATTTTTGTCCACATGTAAATAATTTACTCATCTGTGTCATTGTAATTTTCCTTTCAATTTCTCGGTATGGTGCTTTTCTTGAAAAATAAATAAAAAACCCTTTTTTTGTCGTCTGGTTGTGTTCCCTGGTACTGGACACTGTATTATTTTTCAATTTGTTCTGACCTTTTAAATTTGTCTCGTGTTAATCCTTAACCGCATAAGAGACAGAACGTTCCCAGATTCAGACAAGCAGTCCTGAAAATTTAATAAAAGCACATCGAACAAACGAAGGAAAAAGGCTGCCCATGTGACTGAGTGTAGGCAGGTTGTAGGGTTAGAGGAATCAGACAGCAAAACTGAGACTAAATTTGTACCTTCAAACGAAATGAAACAATTATTCAGTGTCATTTGAAACGGCAGTGGGTGTTTTCAATTAAATTGCAATAGAATTGACGCGTATCACTACTGCGGTCACAACGGTCATGCATAACGATAAACCTTTCATCCGGGTTTATGTACCTAGCGATTTCAGTTCAGATCAAAAAAGTGCGGGCTGGTCGGTCGATACTTTCAATTAATAAATTCATCATTTCTGGCGGTTAATTTGGGTTTGATGACGTTCCTGTTTCCAAGGCACTCTCATTAACGACCAAAACCGCAAATGTTGGGATTCTGTAATGCTGACAGGTGTCACTTCTGACGCCAGTCAGACACAACATCTGTTCTTTTGATTCATTAGCCGCAGGCGTTGTGTTCTGTTTTTAAAAAAAATGTGTAAAATACACGCAATTTGACTACGACCACGTAAGACCCATTGAGTTGATGATCTCACCTTGACCAGCTAGAATAACGACCCAATAGTGGCTGGTTACTGTAATAATAAACGTTTCCACTGATGTCCGTATGCATCCCCCAAAGACATCGTAATTGTCATCTTCACGAATGACAAGCAATGGAGTCAAAACACTTGGGGGCTGAAATGCAATTCCAAATTGCAAGTCCCATTATGAGCCTATAAACGAGGTGATCAATGTACAGAGAGAGAGAGAGAAAAAAAAAGAAACCTTCCGTCTTCTGGAAAGAGTGTCAACAAAACCCTTTCACTCAGCTTGTATAAGTTCACGCTCATATTATGTGTGGAATACGATTCCCTGTAAAGCCTGCACGCCGACGACAGAATGAAAAGCTAGAGCTAAAAATAGTAACGTACATGTATATCAGACGAAGCAGAGACTCTAAATGAATTATGCCTACTGTAAATGGTATCGGAAAGTGCACTGCATAAACACAAGACTGTGAGGCCTTTGAGAATTGCCTGACATGCAAGTGTACGTTTATGGGTCTGGTGGGGGTGAATTCACTTCGCGATACCGTGTACGATATGGGGCTGTCCAATCCCTATTCACACTCTAGACTATTGTTACCTAACACATCTGTAGTCTGTAAAGAATTCCTGAGATTCCGATCAAACAATGACCAACACAAAAGCGGGGGGGGGGTCTCTCCGCCCCATATCTTGCATCATTAAGCACTTCGCGTGTGCTCATGTAGTTTTTTTAATGTTCTTTCATAGTAGTCGCTCTTTGACTAGGATATTAAAGAGCGCCCTCTTGTGTGAAGAAATCAACTGGCTGTGGCCAGGCAATAGTATCACGCGCGTCTACTGTCGCCAATACTCTTGCGGCTTCCATACATGCACGGTTCAGCCGCAGCCATAACATTCGGGCCAAGTTTGGATATAGCACGTGCCCCAAGTTTGGTAAGGCTTTTACTTACCGAAAGTGTTCTTGTATTCAGTTTAATATGCAGCCCAAGGCAAAAAGGCACGCGATCATCGCATCCAAACACAGTCTGGACCACAGTTCGCCGTATCTCTCGTTTTGGCATTGTCCACAATTGTCAATGCGCGCCCTCTTGTGGTATTACAGCGTGCGAAACCCTCGCTAATTCAGCTGTCTGTGTCGTTGTTTCCTTCGTTTAGGCTACGGCGATGCTGTGCCTGTCACGACGTGGGGACGAGTTGTCATCGTCATCTACTCCCTCATTGGGATACCGCTCACCCTTACCTTCTTGGCTGACATTGGCGGTATTCTGGCCCGTATGGTCGAGTTGATTGCAAGGAAATGCAGCACACGGCCTAAGGTATCATCGCAACCGAGGAAAAAATCGCTCGTTCCAGACAATATTAAGACGGATCAACTTCCTCGGCAGAACGGGCTGTCCATCCCGTCAGCCGACTCCCTTCCCGCTGTCCACGAGCCAGCCGAAGACGAGGGGAACCTGACGGATATGCGGCTGTCCCTGGGCGTCTTCATGGACTCGGCCGACCCCGTCAGGAGCAGTCAGCCCAACTCCAGGCGGAACTCCTTGGACGTGGAGACGGCGCAGCAGGCAGTAACGGAGTGGGCCAGCACCGCCACGCCACACGGCATCGGCACCTTTGCGGGGAGTACGAATCTAGGATTTGCCCCGGACGACGGTCCCCACGAGGAGGAGAGGAAAACTCCGAACGGTCCAGGGGCAAGCACGGACAACACCGCCCAGGAAACAGCGGATGATACGGATTACGCGGACTCGATGCAGCGTCAAGTCCCCGTACTCCTGGTAGTTGCGATCTTGCTCATCTACACGTTCTTAGGTGCTCTCATGATCGCCTATGTTGAGGAGTGGTATTACGGGGAGGCGCTATACTTCACCTTCGTCACCTTGACCACCATTGGTTTCGGTGACTTCGTGCCCGTCAAACACTACATGGATATCCCGTCCTTCATCGGGTGTCTGGTATACACCATCGTAGGACTGTCTGTAATGTCCATGTGCATTGCTCTGGTGCAGGCCAAAGTTGTTAGCGTGATGTCCAAAGTAGCCGGTAAAATTGGTTTTTGAAACTAGATACCGGAAAAGTAGTGTTTCTGAACTCCCCAAGTCACCAATCTTTCACCTTTCACACTATGCACTAAGTGCACTGGACGAGTCGTCACAAACTCAGCTTCAGGGCTGAACTTCACGCACGTTTTTTCTCGCCTTGTCGACTTTGGAGCTACAGCTAGCTATCCATTTCGTGTCGGTTTGTGTGGTCCCCAGACTCACTGTGAGCTCTTAGAACCGGTGTGTGCACCCAAGGTGGACAGACTTGCTCTACCAAGTATCAGGCAACCCCAATCGCCTGTCTGAGCAGTAACTGGGACTAAAATAAAGCCAGTGTTAATTGTCACACCGTTGGTGCATGTCGATTATCCACTGGTGGCTCTCTGGTCAAAGATGGCAAAGTATTTTCGATAGTGCCTCAAAGTTTTAAATATTTAGTCCATTTAAAATATTTCGCATCCATTGACAATCACCATGTCGATGTGCACTTAATTATATATTTAGACCTTAGCCAGTACAGCAGAAATCAAAGAAATGTTTTTATCACATTCTATTTTATAATTTTTGTAATATACTCTTTCTTACAGCGTTTTTTTAAAATTAAATTCTGCCGAGCTTAAGAACGCTATGTTTTGTAATGTAGCAACGAGTTTGGCACGATTATTCCTTTAGTGTTGATTTAATAAATTATATGAGATCGACTTCTTTATTGATAAACTATCACTTAAAAATCACAAACCTCGTAACAGCAAATTTGTGCTGTAACGAATGTACAACTGTGCGCTTTCAGACAATACATTGATGTTCTTTTTATCGCACCAAAGATAAATTTCGTCGCTTTTGTTGTTTTCACACTCAAATGTGGCAGGGTGATATTCCGACGTGGTGTGTTGTTCCGATTTGTGTGCCATTTATATGTTATATTTATTTTGTTATTCCCTGGCAGTGTTGAACAGACTTGCCAATTTTCGGCGAGTTCTTTTTGTACGGTGGTTGCCAAACCGAAAAAAAGTACATGCATGTCGCTTTTGGTACTCAGAAAAGTGGTGAGTTGAGGGTGAAGTTGAGTTAATTATTAAATGTGAATAAATTATGAGGTCCATGCGTAACCTAGTAAAAGTTCCAACTAAGTTAAAGGTTTGGAGTAGGTGAGAGGTCAAATATCATATGGATGTCTGATAAAAACTTTCCTGTTCACGTTGAATTTTGTAATAAATAGCTTGTGATTTTAAGTCTGTGCCGTCAAGATATAACAGAGATTTATCATATTCATGAGCGGTTAAGAAGCTTCTGTAAGGATTTGCTGGATATGGGGAATTTTTAGTATTTGAACTAAAATTGTCATTTATTGCAGTACATTTTTAAATCAATTTTTCGAGTGGTTATTATTTTATGTATCAGACACCCTTAATTATAAAATAGCGATTCACATAAGCTAACAAAAGCAAGTAGAGCAAAAATGGCTAGTCAATCTACTTTCTCGATACTCACTACATAACCTTGGAGGCTTGGTTTTGGAAGTGGGGCCTTCTGGTATTTTCCCCCGTTTGTGTGAATGTGTATCCATGGCAATTGTTTTGTCAGGCTAGATGAAGGGTGCCGTCTATTAATTCAAGTGAGAAGTTCTGCCCGAGGTGTCTTTTGAGAAAGGAGATTGTTTGGCCCCCCAAAATGATGAGATTGTGTAAATCCTTGCCAGGATCAACTCCCTGAGTCTGTGGGCTTTCATCTGAGAGCAGAATGGCTAAAAACTACTGTCGACAAATGGTCCTATAGTACACTGTATATGCAGACATGTAAGTGCCTGAGAAAGTTGAGGGTTGCCATTTGAAAAACTGCTGCAAGCAGACTTCGGAAAAATCACTTTTCGGGGGGGTGATTTTGTTATGTGGGAATAACTCAAAATGTAATTGGTTAACCCACAGAAAATTCAAAGGAAATTGAAAGATTAGGCACCAGGCAATAATTTAATTTGTGTTTCAGAAATGTTGGTATGTATGATACTGGGTCCTGAACAGTGTTGATTTTACACTTTTTTCAATGGGGCTGGAATTAGTGGACTACGCCCTGAACTGCGCGCAGGGTAGCAGTAGGTTTTGTCCGGGTCAAAGGCACACGAGGGCGCTGTTTGTCAGACGATATTCGCCGGTGCGGTACACTTCGCGCGGCAGACGGCAAACCTCGAAATCTTCAGGCAGTGTCCGGAACGGGCTTTGAGAGTTACGGGTTGCCCTTTTTGTCTGCGCATCACCGTGTATTTTTCGACTAAAGTCGGTTGTCGTCAACAGTCGTGTGTCCGCTACAGTGTCAATTAAACCGGTTTTTACGTATACATGTATCATAGCACTAGGGGAGTACTTAGCCGAACTTTTCTGACTGCCGTTAAAGAACAAAATCTCTTCGTTAGAAACGGCCTACGGTGAATACAGTGGACAAACGCGTCCCATGTATAGAAAGAAAAAATTACAAAATCGTGTTCCTGCTTTTTTTTCTTGTGATCAGAATGGGCGTTTGAATGGTCAAATGACGTAAGACTGCATACTTATGATTTTCAACACTGGAATCAAAATGGATGGAGTCGGTTTAACTTTGTGCCGCATGATTTAAGTATAGCCCCTGTGCATATTCGATGATTGTAATAAATATGGAAGCATCCAAATCGAATGCAGTGCCGTTTGTCTTTATAGCCCAAATATAACAAGCTTAAAGGGTTTTTTCATGCCAAGATGCGAATTCTGAATGTAGATTGCGTCATTCTGTAAAGCAGAGAAAACGAGGGGAACCCTCACCCTGTGTTCGTAGTGGATAAACCCTTGTGCATGCCAAACAATGCATGTAGCCATTGTTTGGCATGAAACATACCCCTTTATTATAGCTGAACTCCGAAGACAAATGACACTGTATTCCATTTGGATGCTTCCATATTTATTTGAACAGATGAAATCAGAGAAAACATGCTTCACTTAGAGGTGCTCTTTAACAAAGGCCCACCAATGCCCCCCAGACCGCGAGACGGAGTTGCCAGGGCAACCGCGTTGACGATTATCTTTAATATGCCGTGCCAACATCATGACGCGCATCTATGAAATTAATTGTCTGCAAAATCATGGTGCAACTTCGAAGACTGCATGACGCCCGTACGCACACACTCTGCAGGCAATAAAAAGTTGATTTTTTTTTTAAACGCTGGAAACCTATAGGCCCAATGTCCTTAACAAGTTCAATGATCAGTGCCACTCGAAGACAAAAAACACTTTTGTAAAAAAATCTCGTACACACAAAAATGATTTTTTTTTCGCATGAACATGTACATGCGCAGTCGGTTGCACGGGGGTTGAAGAAGAAATACTCAATTCATTCTTGTTTTAACCTTGGTTCAGATATGTTTCCACTACAGTAAAAGGAATTTTTCGATGAAAACTTTCCACTCGTTGCTGGCGTGCTTCGCTCCCTGTTTCTTGTTAGTGTAAGATTTATCCATTCCGACCACTAAACCAGCTGTGTTTTTTTTCTGTTAAGCGGGTCCAGGTATGTAGACCGGGGAGGACTTACACTTGAACTTCCCAGCTGTCTTTGCCAGCAAGTGTGAGCTCGTCCACTTTAGCATGGTTCACGGCATTGCTTGACTTGTATCTTGTATCGAAAAAAAAAAGAATCAGCCTGTTATTAAATCAGTGTGCCATCTGTCATTTAATTTTCCTTTAATTGGTTTGCGCGTGACGTCTGCCCCCTTCAAATCCCGCCTTCCAATGTTTTTGGTTCGTGGCCTTCAGGATTGTCGAGCTCCCACCGACTGGTCGGTTTGTGGGACCTGAGTGAGTGTACGGACATAGTTACCGTGACTGCTCCACCTGACGCTGAAGGTTCATTTACATAGGCGAGCATTGACGGAATCCGTGCTATAAAAATAGAACACAAAGTTTTCTGTTGGTCGTCGACATCAAGAGCGAGCAAACAGAGTGATATTTTTTCAAAGAAACCGCGTTGAGGTTTGTCATTCTAGCCAATCTACGTTCTCGTTAGGTATAACGTCACGTGATTCAGCGCTTCCTTATTTTGAGTTCGACTCTTCCCTGTGAAGCACTATTGTTCTTGTGCGACGTATTGTTATTATTAATGAGTCAGTGACGTAACGATTTGCATACCGTACGGCCGGGTTTCCGCCTTGTGTGTATTTATGTAATATCGTGTCGCGCACCATTTTCTGTATAAACCGCTTTTCGTTACCGCTCGAGTGTGTAAATGTGTCCTTTGTGTGAAGCATTGTGTAAATGATCTATGGTTTGTCATACTTTCTCACTTTAGGCCTACAGGCAGTCATAGAAACCCCGCCCTTTGGTGTTAAAAAACAACACTTCTTGCTGTTCTAAGATGACCACACCAAAATGTGTTGCTTTAACATTGCTAATGTTACTTTACACATCTACAAGTGCTACAGTGCACTGGAGTTTGTTAAAAGTACCACCAACAGTCTTGAAATAACACCAAACAATTAACACCGGTGACAAGTGTTGGCATGGTCCTCTGCTGTGTACCTTTTTTTGCAGTGAAAATTTTCAACACCTTGTATAACCTATTCATACCTTGCTTCAGCTAAATGAAATGATGCAAATGAAGGCCTTTTAATAATGGGGACGAGGCGAAAGTAATAGCAGATGAAAGGGAGGACATCGCACCAACACGAAATGTACAAGACACACTCAACTTGAGTGGCAAGGGTCCATAATATAAACCCAGATCCTTTAGTCTCGGGGCACCTTTAATCCTGGCAAACATGATGTCTCCTCGCATCCCAAATTTCCTACTTCATCCCCCTTACAGGAGCTTTGGTCATCCTAGATATCCGTGTCATTACCCCCGCAGATCCTCATTCTGTGCGATTCAACCAACCGACTAATCTTCAGTGGCTGCCAGCCCTTAATTTGAAACGCGTTCAGCGCACGCGTTCGAAAGTGTCTCTCTCTCCAGCGACACTCGGAGGTCCTCGATCAAACTTGATGTGAAGAAATTTAACAAGGCGGTTGTCTGTTGGAACTGAATGAAACTCGTCTTTGCGTCTTTGTCGGCGAGTCTGCCGTGATATTCTGGCTGGCCTTTTCAGCTCTGTCTCACGTCGTTTTCGACAGATGGCCGTTGCGCTCTCGCGGAATATCCCTCCGTCATCCCTTTGGGTTTCAGAGCTTCAAAATCCAGTGGCAGACGAGGCTAATGAGGGCATGTTGTGATGGTGTTTTGGGCAAGCTTAGCTGCATAGTCGGGTTCGTTTGTTTGTGTGCGTTTCGAGAATACCCTTATACATTTATGACCGAAAAAGACCAATGCTGACGAGTCCTCGTACTATCTCCTGTAGGAATCACTTCACGACGTGACAATCTCGATGTCATTAATAACAAACTCCGCGAACAGGAAACTAAATGTGAGATTGAAAAGTAGACTTTACTGAAGTAGCCAGTCTAGGATGTTCTTAAGCATGCTACTTTTGGCAGCAACATACACGCATCAGTTCGTTTTTGTCGTGATACTATGGGGTTTCAAATTGATTTGGGCTTCCATGGGGACAGCGATGCGGTAAGATACAAGCCAAGTGACGCAATTCACGCGAAGGACCGGCCGCCCCTTGACACGAATAGCGCGGCTGCCGCGCCCGCAGGGGACATTCAGTAAAATGAAATATTTACATCCAGCGGTAGATATTACGTCCCGGATGGTTGAAGGTGTCGACACAACGACCGCACCAGTTCCTTTATACGTGTACTGGGGACGAGGATGGGGAAAGGAGTCCGTGCGTAACTGCGAGCAAGCCTATGTCCAACCGGGCGCAAACACCGATCATCCCCAGCGCCTCCGACGTGTCACCCCGCCGACGACAAATTGGAATTTAAGTGAGAACCTTCAAATTGGAACTCGAAAACCGTAGAGCCTTGATGGCAGCAGCGTTGCTCGTTAGACAAATTGGATGTTCAGTGTTGTCACCAGCTTGTCTCTTTGTACCGAGTTGGGGGTTAACCCTCCGCCAGTTTGTTTGTTTTAAGTGCAATTTATAAAAAAAAATGTCTTGGAGTGATTACGTTGCTTCTGTGTGGGGAAAGACTACCCTATAAGAAGCCGCACCAGACATTGCTTGAACTTCATATTATCAGTTTTTGCCTGGCAGCTTGCAAATCACAAAATATAAATGTGAACAAAAAGGAAAAGACGTCTCTCTGGTTGTCTCTTGCTTGATACTGAAATCCTTAGCCTTCCTCTGAGAGCAAAGCCCTCTTGTACCTTTCCTGGACCAATTTTTTTTATTTATGTTGGGTTGTCGGGGTTTAGGGACTGGTTATTTTGTTTATCGCGGTTACTAAAGACAAATTGCTGCTCTGGCGCAATTTTCATAATCGATGATGGAGTTGTAAACTTGAATGAACTCGAAAAATAAATGGCCGGAAAATAAAGGCTACGGCCCAACTCAGCAACTAAACCCAAAAAAATGAAGAAAAAGAAAATTACAAGTCACTGTACGATGTTATTGTAATAACTAAATAAAAAAAAACAGTCGCGAAATCCATTAAGTCATGCGCCTTTTCCTGACTTAATTACGAGGATCTTGACATGAGAGCGGGATTTACTATTACGGTCGTTAGTGTCACGAGAAGGTCTGAAATTTCATACCTGTGACTTTCCAATTAGGTTGGAAAATGAATTGGATTGTTAGATTAGCTCAGTATCATCCTTGGCATAGACATAGCGCAACGAAAGATTCAAAAAGGTGCATTGATTACTAGATTCCATGCTGACAAATGATCTTTAACTTTCTGATATTCTCATCAAGAACAGTGTGGTTATTTCGCATGCCTGATAATTATGCCGATGAGTTTAAAGGGTACCAAATCGGCGGGATTACAGTTTAGATAACAGATTAGAGTTCGCTTACTACAGAAATGTGCTCAGCTGTGGAAATGGGGAAATATTTGCTAAGTAGTTTCTGGCGAAAAAGCCGAGTTGATTATTTTCCGCATTCGTTTATTTTCTCTTGTGATCAGCAACTATCAAACTAATACGAGTTTTATAGACTGATCCGATTTGACGCTCTAACACCGCACTTACAGGCACATTCGTCAGCTTGAATAGCGCAAGCTTTTGATAAATCGCGACTCGCTATTGGTTGAAAAGGCATGTGACGCGCGCATGTCACCTGTCTACAAGCGTTGTGCCACGGCAGTAATGACTTGTAGTTCTAATTGTCGGATTACTCAATATGAAGCGCCAAGTGATAGGAAAAAGCCCGTCTTTTTATGTTTTGAAGCACGTTGCGTAAATGTAAGCCAGTTCATCACGGGCTACAGACGAAGCGAATGCAAAAGCGTTCCAGTTACGCAAATGTTTGTTCTGACGTCACAAATTCGCGTTCGTTTTTAGCTTTCGCGCGAGGTATGGACCGGCCTTACTAATTGCAAATATTTACAGTCTTCGTTTTGAAATATAATCATAAAACAAAGTAAACCTTAAAGTATTATCGCGAAGTATATGCTTGACCAGCTATAGCATTACCCATACCAGCAGAAATAACATTAACATTTGGTTCTTTTTTCTTAATATCAGCATACCATAGTTATGATTAGTTTTCCGCTCACAACTTTGCTTTCAGGTCCCAAATGGGAACTCATGTAATTAGTCGGATCACTGAGAACGCTTTATAAGTCGATGCTTCTCCATTTCTGCTGACGTACTGTTATTTCACTTATGCCGTTCTGCTAGAAGGCCTCGCTTGTAAGCCATTTACTGAAGACTTTGGTCTAGGCGTGGAGTCTAGCACCTAATGTGTGCGGTAAAAGAAACATAGTCTAGTTGGTCCTGCACTGTGAAGGCGCCTTTCCGTATATGCGTATGCGCATCAACACTTGCACCAAGCGTTGTTTATCAGTCAAAATCTCTCCCGGAGAGATTTTGACTGCCAAACGCAACCCACACGTGTGTTTACTATAATGGTGTTATACTAATGTCCGTAAAAAAGAAACGCACGAACGCATCGTGTACGCAACACACCCAAAAACGTACATGTGGAAAAACGCCATCATGCTGAGAACTTTGCTTCTCATTTTTTTTGCGGGGGGGATACGTCGTCATATTGTTGACTCTGAATCTATTATCATACCAACCGTCTATAATTATTAATCATCTTCTGCATGTTATACAGTGCATAATGATCTACCAGCAGAATTTGGAGAGGTTAAACTAGATGCCGTGTTTCCTGGAGTCCACGGCCGTGTCAATCTCTATCGGGGACGTGCACATACGAAATGCCTCACACCTTTTAGGAATGTGGATTTTTTTCAGAGTAGGCCTACATTTTGCTTTGATGTTCATTTTTTCTTCCAGTTTTAGATGTGCTATCCTTTTTGTGCCCAGATAATTTAAGCTCTTGCCTCGCGAATTGTTGATGTTGTTCACAGGATGAAAATGAAGTGGGGTATGCGGGGCTGTAGTTACGAGGTGGCCATTGATGAGTGCGTGTAAGGGATGTGAGAGGGGATATTGGCATTATTCAAGCAGGTGCAGTGGAGGGTATTTGCGTTAGGTTTGTAGACGGTCGGCCTTAGATTTATGGTAGAAATTTGATTTTCTCGAGGCACTTTGATTCTACAGACGGAGCGACCTGTTTGGTTTTTCTTTGTTTCTTTTCGTTAGTATTTAGAAAATTGAAGACCTATGACATGATTTTTTCCCATTTTGTAGAGTTTTTCTCTTTCTGGTCATAAATCATCCTGTTCAGAACAAAGACAGGTTATTTATGGCCAAGACGTCCTCACTGATGGATAATTGAAGCTGAACCCGACAGCATTACCCTCCCCATTTTCCTCGGAAAAAAAACAAAAAACCTGTCGCTGTTAATTTCAGTCGCTGAAAACCGAAGAGATATATCTGTGTCGACTTCCTGTTCATTTTAACGATCTGCGTGCTGAGCTAACACACCGGTCTAATGCATTTCTAATGGCGCCCGATCCATTAATTTTTTTCTGTGAGCCCTGCTGAGAAAATTTTTAAAAGACAAAATAAATAAACCGTGAATATGGGCTAACCAGTCATCACGCGTGTGGAGTGATAACATTGGACATGGACTAAAATTAACACGCTGTGAAAGCCGCAGTTCCAGGTTTTGGTGCAGTCAAGGATAATGATTGATGGCGTCATGCGCAAATTGCTGTGCAGTCTCTTTCGGGAAAGTGTTGCTGCGTGCTGCAGCGACTGGAGGAGAGACTACTATCACTACACGTAGCAGCAGTAGACCCGTTAGCCCGCGGCTGAGTAGAGAGTTTACGTTCGTTCTCCTATGGAGCTATTGGTAACTCCACGGTTCTCCAATCACTGGCCCAGCCAGTACATTTAGGTGGAAGACGATGCGTACATAGTGCAGGTCGGTGATGTGGAAGTTGAAAGTCATTCTCCTCGATAAAAGCCCTTCGCTTGATCGCAGTCGTGTTAGCGTAGAGCAAGGCGTCACATGCACAAAAAGTCGGCCAGCCGAGAAGCGTTTAAAACCTCAGCTTCAATATTTTGGAGTTTAATTTCCCGAGGGGCATCCGAGTGTAGGAGCAGGGTTGGGCCGGACTCTGTAGTCATAAGAGAAGAATCGGTACATTGCTGCGTATTTTCTTTTTTGGCCATGCTGTCTGGTCTGAGACGTCATTAATCAGAGGGATTTGGTCGCAGATATAACCAACCCGGGGGGTGGTCCGACCTTACTGATGCTTTGAGGTATCCATCGGGCCGTGTCTGGCCAGTCTAGTGTCATGTCCAGCCGCTCTGCAGTCTGCGAGGACACTGTGGTGGCCAACTGCTGCGCACCGCGCCTGGTCCGCTGGCTACGAGGCTCGCTGCCGGTGCTGCTGTGGACCGGGTACCTCCTGATAGGTGCGGCCATCTTCCAGGCTGTCGAGCACCCAGAGGCCGAGCTGCGCCGGGAGATACAGGCCAACCTGACGGAGACCACCAATCGTTCCATCATCCGGCTTTTCAAGGATCTCCTGGACAATAAGACAGACACCATGAACTCCACCGACAAGGAGAGGATGCTGACTGATCTGCTGACGATTCTGAAGATAAGGTCCTATGACAACACGGAAAACCTAACCCACTGGGACTTTGTGAACTCTGCGCTCTTCTGCATGACAGTGGTATCAACTATTGGTAAGACCAAGGCTTGAAACCTCAGTGAATCCATTGGGGGGTCCCAGGTTGACAGGAGTTTCCAGAGGTGAATCGAAATTAGGTGAATCAAGAGCCTCTTTTGCGGAGGTAAACTTAAGGGGGAACGTGGGATGAAACGGGCGCATTAGGAGCTGAGAATCTCAGTGACTCCCAGTTTGAAGTAGTATTTCCAATCTGCACCTCACGATTCTGTGTGCCACCAACAAATTCAAGGATTTACAGAAAAATCACGGGCTAAACGCCGAGCTCAAAGTGTACAACCCGTACAATTCCTCCGCCATTAATTCGTTCTCTGCTGGGTGAAAGCAACAGTAGAAAATGCACTGTGGCGTGTGACAGAGAGGGTGAGGAACCCAAAGGCCGAAATAGCGGCTAAACTGCTTTTCGGCAAGAAAGGTCGAGAGGCCTGATATAGCAGTCACGACATGGACTTTTAACGTGTTAATCGGTCTAAGAATTGCGCTAATATAACCTTACCGTTTGCGTATTCTTACCGTACATGGTGTTCCCCAAGGCCTTTAAGGCCTTTAGGTTGTAAAGGCTAAGTAAATTTTCAATGAAGAAAGGTTTGAAAGAAAAACTAAACTGAATCAGACAGATTGTTTTATCGGGAAGAAAACGGGGGACACCATCAATTTTACGCGGAGAAAAGCAGTAATGCCTGTTTTGACATTTGTCTACCTTCCGAAATGTGCCCGTAAGACGAAAGCCCACGGACAACGCCGACCATCCTCATATTTGAACGGCCTTCGTCCGCCCCGTACATTGCGGTAAAGTCTCGCCGCAGGTCGCGGCATGGCAAGCTGGTCAAACACAGCAAGCTTTTGAGCTGTCACAAGTCCGGCTCTGCTTCAAACGATTACCTGTCATCTCCTCCCTCCCTCCGGCTTGTCATTGGCTCAGGCATTCGATCTATTTGCCCCAAAAGGAAAAACATAATAAATACATGTATTTTTTTAAAAAATCGATGACATTAGAGACGGACTGTAAACTATCACGTAGGACGATAAACCCTGGCTATTTACTTCCATTTTCAAAAAGACAAGACGGAGCTTCTTTGTAATGCCCTTTATTTCCAGGCCTTCCTAAACAAATTGTAAATGTGGCTCGTGTTCTATAAACAGTTGAGCAACAAATTTTTCTCCACTCTGCAAGTACCTGAAATACCTTGGCGTTCAGAAATTGAACCCAAAGTCGAGAGCTGATTATGGGCAATATGTAACGCGTGACCTAATATAGTGTGGATCGACACGAATGTGTTGCCAAAGAACTGCAGACATCAATTGAACGCACATAGCCCCGTAATGTAGCTGTGGTTAAGTTACCGTGAAATGGATTGTCGAATGGAGATTTTGTGTGCTCCCTCTCTCTTACTGGGAACGAACTATGGACCGCGGCAGCGACTACTCGACCGAGCTGTCTAGCTTTTGAAGGGGGTATATTCCCGCGTTGCCTAGCCATCGGCCGCTGCTATAATGCGCAGGCCGATCGCGTGAAAATGACAGGTTCGTTAGCCTGACGCGACGTGCTGAAGTAGGCCTCTTTCCGTGCATGTGTATCTGTCGTACAGGCAATGAGGACACCGTCCGCCGTTTTAATTGGTGCGTTTCTTCTGTGATGACTATCAACAGTTTTGTGATGTGAAAACCGAGAGCATCCACCTCGACATTTTCTACGAGCAGAATGATTGAAGTCTATAATTGTCGTCCTTTATCATGTTTTGTTTGTATATTATTTCCATATAGCCGTCTGCAAATACTGTCATTGAAATCGATTCCGCACTGGAAAAACCCAATTAACCTGTTGTAAGTGGACGCCAGCACATGTATCTTGAAGTTTTATATTGATCGCATTGAGGGTGTATTTGGCAACAACATGCAAATGTTAAAACCACATTTTCCTTGACGCCAGATTCAGTGCACGAAATTTGTCGTCGGCAAGAAAAAAGGTTGTCTCGCTTCATTGAAAATAAATGCGAAAAGCTGCAGTGGCAAGTTACCAAACGCATTCCGAATCGGACGTGTACAGATTTACAGACAGATATAAATTGTACATGTACGGCTTACGAAGTGTACGTGACATAAACTGCGGCACATCATCGTATCACAACTGCCGAAGTGTGGCTCCACATTTTGGATCTTTCTGCTCTCTTGTTTTCCATGGACCGTAAAAGGTTTCAATTTATCTTGCTATTTATTGGACCCTCACTGGGTCATTAGATGTTTGCCATACTAACCACTTACCCGTGTCTCTTTAAGGCGCTTTGCCACACTAACCACTTACCCGTGTCTCTTTAAGGCGCTTTGAAATATTAACCACTCTCTACAAGGCGCCTTTCCATAGATATGTTTTTTGGGTGCGTTGTGTACGCGATGCGTTCCTGCATTTCACTTTCATGGACACCAAAATCGACCCCATTAGCCCTAACAGTCCTCAGTCCTCTAACAGGTGAAGGATTGAGGAGTGTTAGGATTAGTATAACAGTCGTGTTCATTGCGTTCAGCCGTCAATATCGCCCCAGGAGCGATTTTACGGATACGCAACACTTGGCGCAAGTGTTGATGTGCAGATTGCTTATTGAGAAGAGATTCCTCTTTTCAGAGTCGCTCGTCAAAACTGAAAAGATCACCGAAATCGCTATGAACAAATTGTAATTTTACGTTCTGTTTTCAAATGATTTTCTCGCTATTCATGATCGTGGAAACAGAATGTGACAACGAAATTTCAGCCACAGTTTGTCGTAACAACAATGTTTGCAGACAACTTTTCACCAAAGCCCTTGGTTTTAGCCAAATAGTCCAAACGAAAATATTGGATTATTTTCGCTCTATCAGCTTATTTGACATGGCGATACGATTTCGATCAGGTTTATAATCCTATTCTGATTTCCATCAAAGTGAGCAATAAAACGCCATTTCTGTCTCGTATTATGTGTGTGCAAGCCGTTTTTCTCGTAAACTACATAGGCCTACAGGCTTCATCGGTTAATGACAGAAACACGCGCGTCTCTTCTGCAAGCTTTCCTGTCGTCGCTTTTAGACGTATCGATCAACCTTTGCCATATTTAGTCGTCCTTAAAACTAAGTTTACTTAATCAATTATGCAAATGTTACAGGGCAGAGGAACCGCTATATTGCATTTCGTTCCAGCGGTCAAGATGGAAGGCTGTTTTCATTTGATGCGCAAAGCCTGAACAGTATATGTATGAACATAACGTAACATTTGTAAGGTGCACGAGTGTGCCTGATTTGGTGTGACGTGCTGAATGCGTAAAGGGGCGCATGCGCCTCTATCTCTCTTTTCTGGCAGCTGCGCGCGCATGCTGAGTTGCATAGGATAGGAGTTCAAATTCTTAGCGGGATCAAATTTAAAACCATTTAATCTGCCTAATGTCTATTCTACGAATTCGTCACATGTCTCTTTATAATCAACTTGGGGCACCTAATCTTAAAGCCAAGTATACGCCCCTACTTTCTTAAGCTCCTCCCACTGGCTTGTAACAATCTGAATGATGACAAAGATTTTCTTTTCATTTACTACGTTTTCGATCTTTTTTTTCTAATCACTTTACACGTTTCTTCTGCCAATAAACCCCAGACATATGTCTAATTCTGTGCATCATCCGCCATTTCACAACCTCGAATCATTCAAATCCTTTCTCCGTTTGCGCCTGCTTACGTTTTGTTCTTTTACCACTCTCGGCCTCCGTCATTTCATGTCACAATTAATGTCAACCGCCTGCACACTTGCTCGCAAACGTTTTGAAAGGGAAATAAAATGATCGCAGGGTCACAACTTGTCGTTGGTTGGGTGACTGGCTCACTCTGTCTCACTCAACCCTCAGTCGAGTACCTTAAGCTGACAATTATGTGTATTGTTCAGGGCAGCACTCTCCCGATGGCAAGCCTTTTGATGTCCGTATATATCCCATCCTTCATTCGTGAGGGATTTGTACATGTATGTTTGTAGTGGGTCCACGTCGAGACCATAATGTAATCCCGCGTGCACCATGGGAGCAACACCAAGCATGCATGCACACCGTGCGCCTCGGCAGAGTTTGTAAATAGACCTGTCATAGCAAACTTGACATGACGCTGATTGGGAGTCTGTTCCAACTAAGTTGTGCCATCCAACAAACCGCTCGGCCTTTGAGAAGTAAATGATTTCTGAGCTGGCACGACCGTAAAATATTTGCCCTTCATCCAGATGACGCATTTTTGTTAACTGTGCTGCGTCGGTTAGGCAAACAGCCGTTTGAGTGCGCCATGAACTCATTGAGCAATGAACACGTGGCACTGTCCGTAATAATTCACAACAAAATGGTTTTTTGTTACCTTTACAATGAATTAAAACCTGTATTTTCTCGAGCTTTGTGGTTTGCGTTTGTTCCTGCAGAGAGATTGACACGAGAACACTGTGTGTGTGTTTTTCCCCACAGTCCTCAAACACCACTAACCGTCGGCAAACAAAAAAGGTGTGGAGTTCCAACATTTCGAAACGTCAAGCGAGAACGGATAACTATTGACTTTTTTTGCGACTATAGTGTCCAGTTTAAGTTGTAAGAAAAGTTGTCGAGTGGCGTTGATTTCCTTCCAACATGACAGACAATCGACGCACATGCGACTGATTGCTGTATACCTAGTGGTCAATCGTCATACAAAGCTAAGCATAATTGTATAAGAATCATGGAATCGCATCTCATTCTGTGTCCAGAATAACGTCGCCAAAAACCCTCTAGATGAGTCGGATGTTGATGTTGCTGGGTCCTGGCCTTGAACACGCTGCGTTTGCCAGTTACTTTGGGTGGAAACCCCTCTTTGTCATGTCCAAACGTCAAAAATTTATCATTTCCTGATAACGGTGGATCATAATTTCAAGAGATCAGTGCCAAAACATGCAACCAACTGCCCTATTAGCTTAAAAACATAACCTGAACAAGTCAAACGAAAATGTTTTAATGTAGAACTAGTTGGTTTGTTATTTTATCTGGAATGTGGACAATCTTGACGGGTAAACTGGCGTAACGAGCGCTTAGTTCGCTCCAATCGAACCGTCGAACACTCAGCCGGCAGGCGGGAGTTTTAGGTATTAATGTACAAGGTAGGCTGGCTGAGCCCTAATTACGTAAGTAAGTGGCGTCCAAGAGACGGGCATGTTCTTAATGCCGTCACATACGGGGCAAGATCGTGCGACACCGTAAGCCCGCCACCACTGGATTGGTTAATGATAAACACAGATCTCAAAGCTCCACTGCGGAACAAATACAGAAACAAAACTCGGCAAACGAAAGGACGCTGTCACTTGACTGCATTGTCATTATCTCATCAATTAACAAAGGAGATCAGAGGATTGTTCATTACAGACATTATAACCACAATATCCTTTCGTCCTTCATGTTGATCCATCGTGTCGACGTGAGGGTAGACTCCATTAATGATAATTAGATCTTTCGAGGTAACATGCTCAGAATATAATGAAACTGCACTGATTGGGCTCAGTGTTGCACGTACATGCACGTTATCATTTGTGTCATTCAAGTGGACAGTGAAGATTTGTTACTTGTTATGGATGTATACATGTATTTTCACCTTTCTTTTCGTGAATACTAACAAAAAAAATAGGTTTGAACGACAATTTGGCAAGTGTATATCGGTTAAAAATTCAATATCGACAAAATCATGTAGACCTTTACCCATTATTAAGCTCTTGCAAGGTGACGGATGCTTAATCATGAGCTATGGGTTGAGATTTTACAAACTTTATCAAGCCTTTCATTATTCAGACCTTCCTTGATCAAATCTGAAATAAACGCTCACGATTCTTTTCGTTTGAATCTTCTTTAGCATTGCAGGAAATAACAATGAGTTGCTTTGATATCTCATTTGCCGAGAAGACCTTGCTATTTTTTTCTTTATTAATATGACCGGCAATCGCCCGGACCCATTATTCAGCGGACAGATATTCCCCTCATTTCCGATGATGCGTTATTTATGATCTCTGTTTGTCTCAGACACTGACAGGATTCCGAGTTGCTTTGATTACTTCACCCTTCTCATGTTTCCCAGATCTCCCGCGAGAGATGGCTCGCTGTGAATTATCTGAAATGACATTATAAATCACGTGGAATCTCCAAGCAATTCCAGTCCACGCACGACGTGGCCCGTCGCGTTCGGTGGGGCGACGCGTCGCCACCGAACGCCGTGGTTGCCATACATAGCTAAATCGTGAACGGCCGGAGCCGTGGTCTTATAGTCTGTTCTCAATAAACGAAGCCCCCTAAGAAATTGTCTTCACGCACAAGTTCGGTCTCGCCTCCAAGTGGAATGTGTTGGGGGGGGCGGGTTGAGCACTCGTTCTCACGTGGTGCTTCACATAATCAGTATCAAAGCGTTTGAAGGTGTTCGTCTATACCAAATTAAAAGCTTGGCACGAAATACACAAAAAAGATGACGATATCGAAAAAAGGTGCGCTGCATTGAGTTGGATTCCGGCCCCTTCTCTTTATAAGGGTCAAATACAAGATTTTACTCTGAGTAGAAACACGGGCAAAAAGGTGATAACCTGCAATGTAAGATCCTTCAGTTATCAACTCTTAAGGGTCTTACCCGTGCACCTCATTTACTGATAACACTGGAGACAGACTGGTCATAGGTCGATATGCACTGAACGTGTCTATATGAATGTCCTTGCACGACCACCTATAATTTTACGGCTCATTCGGGCCGTGGTAAGCTAAACAGCCACTCAGCGGCGATTCAGTTGTTATTGATCGTGACAATATTTTTGAACCTTAACGGGGTGGGGACCAGTGACATTAGTATAGAGTGTACCGAAGCGAATACGTCACGCGCACGATTACTGTGTAAAAGGCATCAGCGCGAGAGCCAGCGCGTGAACCAACGCGCGCGCATACTCCGTTCGCTTGTACTGCACATTCTGGTTCACTGTGACGTCACACTTCGGTATTCTGTGCGGCTCAAGTATATTTTTAAGGAAGGTTTGTGACTCCATTGTATTTTGTTCTGTAGGTTATGGGTACTTGTCACCTCAGACACAGCTGGGAAGAGGTCTGTGCATCCTTTACGCTCTCGTCGGTATTCCACTGAATATCATCGTCATGGCATCGGCTGGTAAGGCTTTAGCGCGGGGTAGTCGGTCCGCCAATGGCTGGCTGAAACGAGCCTTCGGCAGGTGCGCTTTCTGGAGGAAGAAGGTGGGGCCCCAGACGGGCGGCTCGATCCCGCCTAGGACCCAGTCGAAGGGGGAAGGGGAAAGAAGCTCAAGGGGCCGCACGCACCTACGCACTCTGTCATACAGCAGTGAGTTCACAGACTGGGGTCATCGGGACTTGTCGTCGTCGACCGTAGAACCGGCCAGGACGCACCGGGACGGTGAAGGGGACGATGGTCGGTCCTGCACGGCACCTACAGACGTCGACGCCTCGGCTGACGCCCTACATGAAGAGGACTCCCCGGCCTGGGTGTTTGTGTTCCTGGTACTGTTGTACACCTGTGTGTTCGCGGTCCTCATGAAACTCAGCCAACCGACTTGGACCGTGCTGGACGGGTTCTACTTCATCATCATCACCATCACCACCATCGGATTTGGGGACCTGGTCACCACGAGAAATGACCCGGACGTGAATCAGCTAAGCTACTACTTCGTCGGCTGTCTGTCCATCGTCATTCCCGTCCTAGGGATGATCTTGCTGTCGGCGGGCATCTCCATCGTCATCAGCCAGTTTGGCAAGAAGACCAAGGAGATCAAGCAGGTGCTCTGTGGTAGCTCCAAAACACAGAGATAAATTACTCGAAGTAGCGGTCGCTGCCTGACTGTACACTCAACCACACCCGGGAAACAAGTCCAATATGCAGAACCATGTGGAAGGAAAATCGCCCTCCCGGATCTTTCTGGAGCCCATAAAACACAAGTGTTTTTGGAGCTCTTCTGAGCTTTCTTATGAAATATTCTCGGAAAAAAAACCTGCCCCAGTCTCTTAGAAACAAACTCTCCAGAGTAAGAGGGATCGTTATGACAGTAAGAAAACAAAACATAAGAAAGGAGTACGCACTGTCTTGTTTGACAATATTGCGGGATGTCAAACTGAAAAGTCATCAACGGTAGACCAGACAGAGAGGCGATTTATAAGCGGTATCAATCATTTCACCGGCTCGCAGCCCGGTGAGCAAGTATACGACTTGACCGTTGCGGGCAAGACTCACCAGGGGAGTCAAGACATTATCTCCCCACGCTATAACTTCCATTGGCCGTGACTAATGGCAGTTCGCCGAGGCTTTGTAATAAAAACAAGAAAATTGACATTTTAAAGGGGCTTCTGAATATGGAAAGTTCGCCTTAGATAGGGATGCAAGGGTCGTCGAGCTGCAGAGCCCTGCAAAACCTGCGGCAAAGTGCTTCTTAATCTTGTATAGATCATAACTATTTTGAACTCTAACGAAACCGTCAGGAATACTTTGGAAATACAAGGATGTTCCTTTATCTTTTTGAGAAATTGCGTCATGTAGAACATGTGTTATCAAAATTCATTCATGAAATTGCTGTAAATAATCAAAATGGTTCCACTTTTTGATCTATGTTTCCGATAGTATTTGTTCTTGTTTGAACTGTCACCCAGACGTCACTGTACTCAAGTGCTAAAAGTAGATTCCAAGGGAGATGCCTATCCTATATAGATGAACTGGAAGACCGATGTGCTCACATTAAGCCCGAGCGTAATGAGCTGTTGATACTCTGCGGTGTTTGGGCGGGAAATGTGGAACCAAAATGTTGACATTTTTGAGGCTTTTGAGACTCTGACGTTACACAATGTACATAAATACATATTTTAATGTATATTAAAAGGTTGTGACTATTTCCATTTTGCTCAGTTTCAGTCATAAAGATTGTACACAAATTTCATTAATATTACTATTGTGAGTTATGTTATTTCTTCCTCTTTTTATTCTAGTTGTTCAAACTAAATTCAAAGAGAACTGTCAAATACCTTTATTTAATGTACTTGTCTTCCCATTTCTTTCTCAATGGATTTTATTATCTTCGAATGGACTCACAATATTGTCATTGTTCACCCCATGCCACTTACAGCAGAAAAAAAACTAAAAATCAACCAACCATCTCGGAAAACAGACTGAAAGTTATCAGTAACCGATTTTTCTGCTTCCTATACAGTGAGAACACAGATGGTCTTCATGGTCTTGGTACGTAGTCGGCAGGCTTAATTATTACACACACACTGATGTCAGATTACTCGTATTGGGCTAACATCCGCTTTCCCCCGGGGCATTTTCAGAAGCGTCACCGGTACATCTGGTGAGGTTGCAGGCTGGACTCAACGTGGCTACAACTAGATCACAGCAAGACGCCAGGGATCTTGATCACATCATCACGAGTCGCAGAGTCCGTTTTAATTTGTTGATCATGAGCATGAACCCCCCCCAGGTATCAACTTTCAATCCCGTGAAAAAATCCGGTGACGTTTCTTGTATTTTTGGTAGTCTCGACAGCGTCGGGTTTGTACCTTTTTTTGTTCAAGTTCTTCGTCCATTCATTCAAACCCCTTTGTTAACGTGGAGAACATTCACCGTGATAATGACTGCCCTAATGCTTAAATTACAATTAAATTACAGCTAGACCGATGGGCGAAGATTTATGTGCTGTGCCCTTACATATATTATTTTTGTTATTATGAACGTCTAATTTTTTATGTCATTTTCAACGCATTAATACAATTCAAACTCGAAAATCATTTAAAAAGGTGGGCACATCTGATTGGCACAGGGCACCACTGGATCTCTCACAAAACTTGATTATACAGAATAAACTACATTTTATCAACACGAATTCAGTTTACACAAGACATTGAATTTTCATCGACATATCTCAGTATTTTAATACCGAGTTTTAAGTTTCCAGCTTTCACTTCGATTGGAAACGTTTATTCCATGTTACTTTTCAATCATTTACTTTCGGTGATTCATATGAAATGGAGGCCTGAACATTATAAAGATGATCCTCTTGGTGACCGAAATACCTTGACTATTGCGATTCACAATATTGCGCGCGCCTCCAAGAATTTGCAACGCGTTGACAAATCACAGTGCGTGGAATCTGTCGACCCTTTCCAAACGCACATTGGGTCGACAGATTTCGCGCACCGTGATTGGTCAGCGCGTTGCAAACTCTTGCAGGCGCACTAGTGTAAAACGCCTGTATGATCAACACAGAAAATAAATATGCTGACGGGATATGAACACGTTGAATCTAAAGGTTGGGATTTGACTCGCTGCCCTTGCGAGATTACCACTGCCTTTTCCATTTTTAACAAATAGATTTTTATTAATATTTGTAGTAAACAGCCAAAACTGTTCACAAGAACGGAGGATACGCACTGTCGAAGACAGGACTGCCTGAAAAGGTTCCGTCTGTTACTCCTTCGTTGAAAAAGAATGTTTACAAACCATGCGGTGATCTTACCAACTGTTTTTCCCGCATACCGGGTAGCTGCGGCAGAGCTGTGGTCTGTTGATATAGAGAGCGCCCTCACCGTGGGCACTGTGGGTAATATAGACTGTACCGGCAATGCTGAGGATGGAATCACGAGGGATAGTAGGCGTTTTTCATTTTGTAACGACACGAATTAGGCATCCTGTGTCAGTGACTTTTGCGCAGTGACGTCAGCTGTAGCTTGACCACGGAGCTCTGAAAGTGCCATTCGACTTGTAGGCTTGACCAAGTCGGGATCCTCTGTGACATTTGTCGGCGTTACTTGCTTCGCGCCCGCTTGTGTCTACTTATTACTGTGAGTTGCTGACGGGAGCTACAAATGCTGACGTGGGACACAGTTGTACAAAAAGGGCTATCAAATGAGGGCGCCTTATAAGGGTTATATGCGAACTGCCTAGTGCGACGGACGTGTACTGTATATAGGCTGAAGGGATGGCTGACTGGGAAGAGCAAAGTAAGTCCGACTTGATTCAAGTCTGTTCGATTTGTTGAGATCTACACCAAACTGCCCCCCCCCAAATTATATGAGGGTGTCGTCTCCCTTTGATAAATTGTCACAGAACGTGCCTGTATATTCTATGATAAAATGTTTCGGGATCTTATGGGTCAGTTGGCACTGCAAGAGCTCCGTACCTGACAACCAATAACAGTCCGCTTGCTTTCTGGAATTTTGCATGATATTGATTATTTGTCCTGGTTTAAGGGTTGGTAAGTTCGAGATTCCTGGGGCCTGGATTCACGTCGGGCTGGAGGGAATCTTGCTCATTAATTTGTTTTTTGGTCTTGTATGTGTTCTTTTTTTCTCTTTGAGGCCGAGTGAGGCAAGTTGGAGCGTATGTCGAGGACGAAGCGCCAGCAGAGACTGCGTCAGTGGTAACCGCTGGAAAAGATCCCGAAATGTGGTCAGCCCGCGAAGCAGCTACCCCTGACACATTGCTCGGTGACAACAAGAAATCGCCAGAAACCTGAACGGTGGGCTCTGCCTCCAGTTTGCCGCGAAGATTTCCGGTAGATGCCCTGAACAGAGGAGAACCTTCTACAATTGAATGGCGTCTAGGGACGTGACCGTGTAGGTCAAGGGATTTCCCGAATGTGTCTTCCGCAGACCGGTACCGCGGGATAGTGGCAGCTTTCTTCTGACTGAAATAAGGCAGCGAGTGTCGCTTGATGGAGCGGCTCACAGCGGCCGAAGAGACTCGGCGGAGTGGGTGGTATGTACCCTCGCTGAGGGTCTGCCTGAATTCGGAGAACTCAAAGGCGGCGTTGGTCGTTGGGAGCGCGAGGGGCTCCGAGGCCGTCGGCTCAAATTTGATTTCTGGGTGGGATAGGGTTCGGTTGACTTTCGGCACTTGCAGGGCGTCTTGAAGTGCTCCGATACTGTGTCGATGTCTCTTGGAAAGGCCCGATGACGTCATCGGCGTTCGGCCCACCGCGTCAAAGGCCATGGTAGGGTGGGATCGATACGGCAAGAGTCCCTGTCTCCGATTGATGGCCCTAACGCTGGAGTCTGTATCGTGAGGGTGGGTACCAGACGGGTGCAAGGCAGCCACGTTATCGAAGCTCCAGGGCGAGTCCGAGAATTCGGGAACCCTGACGTGTCCCCCGCGCCAGTACAGGGCGTCGTCCAGAGATGTCCCGTACCCGGCCATGTTGGGGTCTAGCTGGTTTCGACAAGGAGAGGATGTAGTCTGCCAGTCCATTGGAAGTGTGTGGCATCCCGGATGCATTGATGGCATCAGACCTTTAAGGAAGATGTAAACACCCATAAACTCCGTGCATTGCATCGAGACTATGGTGTAGAAATAACACTTTGTGATATTTATTTTGCACGTCTGGCATATAGTCAAGACCGGCTGTATATTGTTTGTGTGAGTGTAACACCGTAGATTATCTCTGAGAAAGGGTTTGTTTTGGTTCCTTTGGTTTCTTTCATAGAAATCATATTCCTGGCCTATGAGCCTCGAGCTGGAACAAGAGGGGGCGCAATTTTCTCCGCAACAGACGCTCCTTTTGTTGGAACTGTACTTCCCTGCATGGGTCACGAACGACTAGGAAACGCACGCGTTACGGTCGCATCGCTACCAAGAATACGAACACTCCCGACCAATATGTCTCTTTTCAACCTATGAGGGGGTGCTTCTGCTCAAGGCGGAATCTTTAAGAATTGAGTTTTTGAAGCTGGAATGATAAATGCTAAGCAAAAAATTGCCCATCAGCCAAAATGGTGCGCGATGTATATTGCTCGTTAGAGCGTTACCTTTGATATCTGTCACGGGCGTAAACTTGCGTGTTTCCTACATGGACCAGCACAACGAGCCGCGGAACCAAACGAGTGAAAACAAAACCGCTTACCTCCAGAGGACATCGATGGAAAGTGTAGTTCGTTGGGTTCAGAGAGCATGAATGCACCTTGCAAGATCCTGTTGAGATAAGCAGACATATCGATGAGCCGTGACACCAAAGGGGTTTGACACTGAAAACCTTAAGTTCGCGACTTGTTTGGCAATGTGATGGAGAGGTCATTTGGAGGTGTGGGGTCGAATACGAGTCAGTTTGGTATCCCAACAGCGCATGCCCAAAATGAAGCGCGTCCGAGGTCATTCGGGAACAGCAGTATGTGCGCGTAAGGTCTGCCCTATCAGTACGGCCATACATTGGCCTGCACGCATGCTTTGTTCTCGAATGACCTTATCTTTTGGAAACACCGAACTGGCACATTCGCAGGGGAGGGGACTTGGAGGGCCGGCAATTTCTGAAGATGTTCACCCAGTGTGTTTTGTCAAAGAATAAAATCTTCTGTGTAAACTTCCAATATCTGAGCGAGGACGCAAGGAGCACAGACTACGAGTTGGGGCGTTCCCTGCCCATTTATTTATGCCACTACGAAAATCCTAACCATACTCACGCGGTGACGTCAGCATCACGGAACGCTTTGGCGAACGGGTTGTTCTGGATCTTCAACTGGGTGATCTGCTCGCTGTGATAGGCTGTCACAGCAATGAACGACGTCTCCCTGAACTCGAAGCGCGCCGGCCGGCCACCAACAGGGGGCAAAGACGCAAGCTCACGGTGTTTCGTAACACTGCCGTCCGTCGGCAGATTGGGATCGGAACACGGTGCCCCTATGCCCCTCACGTTGGCCGGCCAACGCCTCAACTTGCTGATGATGATGCAAGGTGTGTATTTATGCATCGAATGGAGAACAGTCTGTGTGGAAGTTTCACAGAAAAAAGTTTCATCCTCAGTATTGGTCGGGCAGGAGGAGAGATAAATGTGTACAGAAATTAACCTTGCGGCGGTCAGAGTTAATACACTGGGGATCCAATTTTTTCTAATTACGTAATTAAATTTTTTTCGGCCAAATGGAAAAACATTCTGTTAATTTGTACCTCTGTAGATGCTGAATAGCCTAGTTTAGTCATCTTTAACAAGAGGAACACTGTGCTACATTATCACTGAATTAGTGTTGAGAGCTGCATAAATTTTCCAAAGAATAAAATGGCAACCGGCAAGTTTTGTTTTTCTCCGATTAAAGGACAGGCACAATGACTGACTGATTCAAGTCGCGTCTTTGAATCTAAATTCTCAAATGGCGAGAGTAAAATAATTCAGGTATTATAACTACAAAAACAGATCTTTCATTAAATTTTCTGATCGGCCAAAGATACAACAGAGCTAGTAAATGTCATGCTTGTCCAACGCTCTCGTGATTTTCAGTTTCAACCTGTTTTTTAAACAATGCGACGATTGAAAATGACTGGTCTCCGACTTGCCACTTACGTTATCCCCTCCACCCTCCTTGTTGTTGGTGATCTTAAGCTTGGCGAAGGACACCCTGTCTTGCATCCAAAAGGCGCCCAGGTTGGGGGAATCGGGGTGTTCGAAGGGCTGGTTACTGGTCTCGGGGTCTGCTTTACCCACGGGCAGCCACTTGCCGTTGATGAACTTGTAGCGTCGACGGTCGCTGGCGTCTAGTTCCATCTGAACGCGGTACATGGCGGTCGCGTCCATGCCTCGTATCGCTGTCACGATGCATGGGAACATCCGCCTGTGGTTAAAGAAAAGAATTGCTTGGGTAATGCTATATTTGGTCACCTCCTCACTGGGGAGAATTGAATCAATCCAGTTCTGGAAATTTCGGCTTTTCCCACCTTTTTATGCTGCTCCATATCTGAAACTTAAAACATTCTCTCAACGCTGCAGTCTTTGAATCTAGCATTGTTAAAAAATAACAAGCAGTATTCGTTGCTTTCATTTCTTGTTTAAATTTAATTACCACAAGAACCTTTCCTTTAAAACGAGAATAAATGGATATTCAAAGAAAACAAAACCACCGAATTTTAAAAAGTCACCGTCGAAAAATAGTTTCATGTTTGCAAAGCTCATCAAAGGCCTAAAAACCTGATAACAGATATGTTATCATCTAGACAAGAAACTCTGCCAGTACACAATTCTTTTTTTAGGACGCACGATTTTCGGGCACTTATGCAAAAAAAGATTAGCTCCTTTTTAAAAAAACTTTTGTACAAGCAGAACTCACACAAATCTTTCAGTGTTTCCTTATTAAGGTGAGAATATTTACCGCCCAATCCTGTTCACGATCATTTCGGTGCCGCATTTGTCGAACATTTTCCAAAGTCTTGAGTTCTCTAAGGTAACTTGAATGCCGTCCACGCATTGCGAAATAGGCTCGTCTAACAAGAGACCACCTTCGTTAGTTTCCATGACACTTGCCGCCGAGCCGTGTCTCCCCGACAATGGACCCGCGTCTTTGTCGGGCGAATCTCGAACAGGAGCTGGGTGTCCCGTTAACATGTAGTCGGCACCGAGGAGAAGGCGCATATCTTCGGGCCGTCGGCGGTTCTCTTTGGGAGAAATGCTTCCAACGTCCGGCTCAGAGCCAAAGCTTACGCCCCTTTCGTCTGGGAGCACGCCGGTTGGTCTCTTGATTTTCGGACGGACCGATTGCCGTCCGACAATGCCTGGATTTTCTAGACGCTCCGGGAAAGCCCCTGAGGATGACGCGATGGTGGCCTCTGCGTTCTCCGGCTCCTCACTGCCTCGTATCGAGATTTTCCGCAGGAGAGAGGCTGCACGTTGAGCGCTGAAGTCAATCACGGGATCGGAGAGCGTGAATCTGGAGGCAGCGGTGCCATCATCGATGCTGTCCGTCCGCGGAGGCTCTGGCTTGGGCACGGGTGAACAGCTGCTGATATCAGCTGACCGGCAGCGGTCGTCATCATCTCTGACCGCTTGCGAGGAACCTGACATCAAAGACTCGATGGAAAATGCGCTCGCCTTCTCCGACAGTTCCATAGCTGCAGTAGCGATTGAGTCAAACACTCCCAGTAAGTACCAACTGAACCCAAAGTCTGAGATGGCTCTTCAACACTGTGCATGCAGTCGGTATGCTGAAAGAGGTCGAGCATACTTGCAGCTTTTATGTCATTTGTCACCATTGCTACCAATGAGGATGCCTCACAACACCATCGGGATATTTTGTACTCCGTCTCTCGAGGACTTTGTCTTAATTATCATGTGCGTGGGACCACACACTAAAGGCGAAAACCTTCATTTCCCATTATGTTGCTTCATCATCATTTGGACCTGGGAAATGAAACCTTATGTCTTCCAACCGAAAAAAGTAACAGGCAACAGTTTTGTTATAATAATGATTGAGGCACGAGATGTTTGGAGGTTAAGCTATAATTTCAAAGAAAAAGAAGTGTGTTGTAAGGACGGTTCCTTTGAGTACAGTTCGAGAGAGACACGATCAGTGATGGTAAAACAAATTGAAAACCACAGAAAAAAAGATAAATAAAATACAATATCATGGATAGCGAAATTTTATTACATTATATTTGTTTGAGAAAATTTATTTATTCACTGGGGGATGTCCAAATTGTGTCTTCTCCTGGACGTTACAGTTCCCTCTGTCTTCTTGGTGTTTACCTGCTTGTATTTTAATCCTCGTGTGTTACTAATTGACTCTTTGTGGGGTGTAATCAACGCCTAGCCCTCTCGACCTGATCACACCCTTCCATTCCAGGGTGGCGAAATGCACACCTCGAACTGTGAGAAAAAAGGGCTTCGTGTCTTCGCTACGAACAAGCCGGAATAGATGAGGTGAAATCTTGGAGGACTGGCTTCACACCGAAGGCGCCGAATCATCGAACACACTCATCAGGACTAGAGACCGAGCATTGTCAGCGTAGTACATGATTAGCGGCAAGTGGAGGCGTCCAAAGTCATGCATTATTGCTGGTCATTGCCTTGACAGGAGAGGAGGGAAACCTTTCAGAAAAGGCAGTTGAGCTTCGTTAATTAACTTCAACGAGTAAAGATGTTACACACCACCTGCCGAAGGAGGGCGCCCTGTAGAATACGAGCGCACATCGAGCTCGGAAATGCAAGTGACGTGTCTTTCTTATGCGAAATAAACATCGACAAAAAGGTAGTTCTCGACCAAGGCCAGGCAAGAGTGACAGAATATTGCACATGTAGGTACGATCCTCGGCATTAGTTTTATTTAGGATCTCTTTTTCTCTTTGGAGAATGAATATTTTTAACTGGATTATCATCATTAATGGTAGGCCTAACAGTGCCTAGAGCGTTAGAGTAGTTATGGCATGTATGGTTCTGCCCAAACTACCATCATTAACTCAGAACGACATGCTGAGTTTTTAAACTGCAAAAATAGGAGGGATTCTGCTTTGCAAGTGAAATTTCTTTAGGGGGCAGGGGAATTGGAAATGTTTTCATGTTACCTTTTACTGCCTTTTCTGAGAGGCAAAGCAATGCTTTTGGATTTTTTACATGGTGTTGAAGGAAGAACAATATAATATTTCAAAAAAAAAATTCCTTTCATTATGTTTCAAAATAAAAGGCTCTTTCATTGAGATAAGGATGGCATGGCCCCTTTTCTCCCCTTCCCTAGTAGATCTGCCTTGGTTGCAGAGAGCAACCAGGGCAGTTAAACTAAACTGACTAGCAGACAGTATACATTTAGCTCAATTTGTAAGCTTCATGTACATTAGTTGCTTGCTCATTTCCAGAACAAAACCAAGATCTAAGTACTTCTTTTTATTGAACGTGACAAAGAGGGGGTACTTGGGGGGGTAGAAACCCCTTCACCGCTCCTTTTTAGAGGGCGCTCTGTTGCTTTAGTCATACAGGGCATTTCTTATCATAAACGCTCATGAAAAAGTGGAAAAATTCATCCTTCAAAATATCCTCCAACTAAGAAAATTTGGCCATTACTACGTTGCATTGTCCAAATAAGCTGCTCAACCCTCCTTTGGTTTTACAGCACAAATATGCGCAAGTGCCCAAGGTCACTCTCTTGCATGTTGGTGCAGTGCACAACACAGCTGTGCTTCTTTGAGGTGTTAACCAAGTGACCCAAAGAGTAACTTCAGCGTTGGAGGGTTTTAAATGACAAACAATGACAAAATGGAACTTAAAAAAAATTTTGAGAAGTGTGATATACATGTATAGAGCTTTTTGTATTCAGAACTATGGAGAGGCTACTTTTCTGCTTTCGATGACATGGTGCTTTGGCTCATATTTTTATTAGCTTAACCCTAGCCCTCCTCAATCCTTCACCTGTTGGAGGATTGAGGAAGGTTAGGGTTAAAACCGAAATGTTAACGTCTCTCCCTTTTGCTGCTATTGCTAGAAAGCTTTCCAATCCATATTGAAGTCATAAACATAAAATATCATGTCTTCTTTTGAAGTGTCACGCATACTGAGCAGGGGTGTTCAGAGCTAGGCTGCCAACATGGTACAAATGTCGTCAGAGTTTGTCTTCACCCTCGTATACCTGCTGATCTGCCTATGCCTCATCTTCCCTCCGACTGAGGTCCGATCAGCTGGACTGACCCTGCAGAATGTGCTGTCGGCCTGGCTGGGCAGCGAAGACATGCAGTTTATCCAGTACCACATCAAGAGGACCACGGCGGCAGCCTGGCTCCACTCATTGTTACCCCTAGGTAAGAGGCACGGAGTGATGGTGGCAGAAGTGGATGGGATGGATGCCAAACCTTGGTTATTGGAGTGTTGATTATAGGCGGTGGAACTTTTGTGCTTTACCAACTATTCCTTCCATACCACACCCAAATATCCTTATTTACTAAACAACCTGCTTGTTTAACCACACATCCACTTAAGTGTGTATTTGCCTGCAACTGGGGACCCCTTGTTGTTCCTATTTTGTTTGTACTTAAACTTTTTTAGAAGACCAGCCATATGTTTTGTACACAGTTGTCAATCGGGGACCCTCTGTCAATCATGGACCTTATTGTCCTCTATTGTTCAGGGTCCCCAATTGAATGCAAAAACAAACTGGCATATCCAACCAGCTACACACCCAGCCACATACCCAAGTGAATATTTGCTTGTAATAGCGGACCCCCTTATTCTTTTTTTGCTTGTACTTCAACTCTTTTTGAAGACCTAGGACCTAAGTCTTAATTTGTACACGTTTGTCACTCTGGGAATCTTTTTGTCCTCTATTGTTCAAGGTCCTCAGATAAATGCCAAAACTAACTCACCCACCGATCCCCCTTCCCTTGAAAGAGAACAGCAACACAAAACGACTTAAACAAAATAAGACATCAACTACGTTTTCTTTGATAGTAAATTCAGAGTCGTAGTCAAGCTGACAAGAAGTGCTTTTGCAGTGCCAGTCATAAGACCGTCTACAAGTACAGTAGCAGGATGAAAAATGGCTGAGCAATTCCTTTGTCACAGTTTATTTGAAAAGCTAGTGACTTGAATTTGATCGTGGATGACTTGTGTGATGACTTATGAACTTGCAGGAAATTAATGTATATGTCAAGATTATCCTTGTTTATTGAAATCTGGTTTTTTTTTTCAGAACTAACTGCAACCTAAGTTTTTTGTTGAAGTAAAAACGTTGTACTTATTACTGTAGTATCTTCATTCAGACATCAATGGCTTGCTAATTTGCTTATTTGACCTTTTCTTGGTAGGTTACTACATCGGTCTTGGCTTTGCTTGTCCTAAACTGAACCTCTTTCAAATCAGTGAACTTAGTTATGGGTGGCTTGCCTATTTAGGCATCGCAGCAGCAATCCACCTGTTAGCCTGTGCGCTCAGCTGCTATTGGGTGACAAACAAGTTTGGTAATCATCCAATCGCCTGGGCCCTGCATCACCAAGGTAACAACAGCCCCTGGACGGATGTGGCAGCCAGAATCAATGAGGAATTCCGGCGAATCGACAAGTTCACCACGGGGCCGCCGGACCTTCGTGTCATCGTCACAGACTCGTGGGTGATAAAGACATGGGCGTATGGGGTCAATGTGGCCCACCAAGCTGACTGCCACCTAAACCTCCTGCGGACTGAGGACCATGCCATCTCGCACGAGAGCAGGACTGGCGTCCAGTACTTGGCCATGCAAGTCATCAGCGCCAACACCCACATCAAGGCATTTGAAATAAGGTATGTATCCTGTGTTGGTACACTCCGACACTAGCTTCCAATTGTCTTTTCATTCAGCCAAGCATGTAAGTCACTTAACTGCACCTAACACACTGAGTGTTCTAGTTACAGGTTCCCTAAGTTGATGTTCACCACAAAGATATGTGCATGTCATATTAATCAGAAGTCAAAGTTACTTTTTCAATTTTTATCAGTCATTAAATGGCAAAAATGTTGCTTTGTGAATTGCAACAATTTCTTTTGTTTCACAGAACCAAATTATCTTCTTTGATTAGTGAAACCCAGTTAGAAAGAAAAGAAAACCAAATCCCCCCCCTACATAGTTCCTGTAGGATGGGCGCACACTCCCAGCAAGTTTTTTTGCGCTTAACTGTCACGCTATGCTGAATTTCCATTACTGGAAGCTGGATTTATACACCATCTTCTACCAAAGGCCAAAAAATTCAGGTTTTTACTCGTTTAGTTTTCCCCTTCTTGACAGGTTACTCTCGTCAGATTACAAGGACCTACGAGACAAGCTGACCGTCCCTGTGGTCAACGCCCGTAATGTGGTCATTCAACAGACCCTCACAGATCGCTTTCTGGAAGCATTCAGGGAACAAGTTCACCGCAATCCATTATTTGTCCCTGCCCCGGGATCCCCAGTAAGCAAAAAAAATAAAATCTTAGCTCAAAAAATTAGGGGCCTTCTAAATTTTAGTAAAATTTCCCCTCAATGTTCTCATGTTATGCTTTTGATGTAAGCGATGTGGTTTAATCATTTCATCCTCAGTCAAGTTTCTGTCCTGGAATAAAAAATGGTGGCCAACGTTAGCAGGAGAGCAGCCAAGGATGGACTTGTATCCCATTTAGGCTGGAAGGATATGATTTTTTTCTTGTCATGTAGACTAGACAGATAAACTAGCCGCATGACCACTTGACTTTGGCCCGAGTTGTCATTAAAAAAACTACTTGCAGTATTTGCAAATTAAAATATGTTGACTGTCAAAGTTGAAAGTTTGTTCCCATGTCCTTCAAAATCCACCAGACTAAGGAATGAAGATCCATGATGATTTTTCTTAAATACTCCTTGAAAGCAGTACGAGGCATTGATGTTCAGTTGTTGGCACACGGATGCAGGTTTCTGGCATTGAGAGAGTTTGAAGATTGGTTGTTGTCTGCCATTGTCTCGCAGGCACCCGACAACTGCATCGGCTGCCTGCAGGTTCGAGCCGACATCAAGCTGGTCAAGCAGTGCGCGGAGGGGCAGCAGGGCGATTGCATCCAGTGCTTCTGTCGGCCCATGTGGTGCTTGGAGTGCATGTGCAAGTGGTTCGCCAGCCGGCAGAACCAGAGCCAACCGGAGTCATGGATGGCGAGCAAGTCGCCCTGCCCGACGTGCCGCTCTAAATTCTGCATGCTGGATGTCTGCTTAATCCATCCAGAATGACACGAACTGTTCTCATTCCCCAGAGCGACGACCTTCAACTCTACAATGTACTATCTTGTAAATTTTATTTTAAAACAGGTGTAAATACAATAACGTATTCAGCTTGTACAATAATTATGAAAAGAGAGAAAAAGATGGCCTTTGATGCACACAAAAAAATATGTATTACATTTATTTTTCCATCATGCTGTCCATTTGTGACGGTTTATTTGTTATAGTTCACGGGGATGTAATGGTGGTATGTGCTGTGTAAGAACAGTAATATTATTAGTATTCTCAAATAATTAATCATAGTTTGTAAAGAATGACACTGGAATTGGAAAAAGCCAGAGAAAATTAACAGGCAAATGGCTTGGACTTAAAAGTAAAGAAATCGTCAGATTTACTCAGAAATACTTTAGGAATGAAATGCAACAATATTTTGAATGCCTTTGAGGCATCTAGATCTCAGATTTACAGGAAATACCTATTTCATATTTTGAAAAAAAAATAAAAGGTCAGCCTTGGAAAAAAAATTGCATTAGGCCAAATGTTGACTTTTGTGTTATTCACTCAGAAATCCTGTTTTGATGAAATATTTTGAATGTTTTGGATTCAGCTAGATCAAAATTTTACAGAAAATACAGCTTTATATGTTGGAAAAACTTCAAGAGATTAGCTTTGCAAAACAAGTAAATGTGGGTAAAATTTTGGACTTCACTCCAGTTTACTAAAAATGCTTTATGAATGCAATTTCGCAGAAAAGACAGATTCCATATTTAAAAAAAGAGATAAGCATTGCCTAAGAATAATATTGGTGTGAAATTTGACTTTTGTGCAAAAATCACTCGGAATACACTTTTTGAATGTCAAAATTTTAATTTTCTGCAAATGAGTCGAAAATAGTGTTTGCATGAAAAGAAACATATTTTACATGTCTTGGATTCATTTCATGCCAATTTCACAGAAAAATAAAGATTTCACATTTTTGAAAAATATAAAAGGGGTAAGTCATGCAAAATAATTAAATTCGTGTCAAAATTTGAATTTTCTGCAAATCACTAGGAAATACCCTTGAAACAAAAGAAACATATTTTGGATATCTTGGAGTCATTCCGATTGAAATTTCCCAGAAAATACAGCTTGAATATTTTTGAAAACAATGCAAGGGTTACCCCTTGATTTCACATTTTTAAAAAAAGCGCAAGGGGAAAGCCTTGCAAAAAAATCAAATTTTGGTCAAAATTTGAATTTTCTGCAAATCAGTCGAAAATCCTTTTTGAATGAAAAGAGATATATTTTGAATATCTTGAAGTCATCTGATGGCAATTTCACAGAACAAATAGAGATTTCGTATTTTTGAAAAATAGGCAAGGGGTAAGCCTTGCAAAATATTCAAATTTGGGTCAAAATTTGATTTTCTGCAAATCACTGGAAAATAGGTCTTGAATGAAAAGGAACATATTTTGGATGTCTTGGAATCATTTCATGGCAGTTTTACAGAAAAATAGAGATTTCATAATTTGGAAAAATAAGCAAGGGGTAAGCCTTGCAAAAAAATGAAATTTTGGTCAAAATTTGAATTTTCTGCAAATCAGTCGAGAATCCTTTTTAAATGAAAAGAAATATATTTTGGATGTCTTGGAATCATCTCATGGCAGTTTTACAAAAAATAAAGATTTCACATTTTTGAAAAATAGGCAAGGGGTAAGCCTTGCAAAAAAATCAAATTTGGGTCAAAATTTGATTTTTCTGCAAATTACTGGAAAATAGGTCTTGAATGAAAGCGAATATATTTTGGATGTCTTGGAATCATTTCATGGCAGTTTTACAGAAAAATACAGATTTCATATTTTTGAAAAATAGACAAGGGGTAAGCCTTGCAAAAAACTCAAATTTTGGT